TAGCCTAAGCATCCCTATTTGCTATAAGAGTGTGTTGCTGGTGCTTAACCTGTCAGGACGCCGCCTGGTCTTTGCTTATCACATGCCAACACGTGATTCGTGACACTATAACCTATAGATAATATAGTTAGATCGCGCGGAATAATTAAAAAGTATAGAGGAAAAGAGAAAGGAATTATATACCTAAGGATAATAGGTAAAAGATCGGATACTAAATTACTAGGGAGTAGGAGATAGTATATAAGGAGCTATTACCTAATAAAGAAGCTAATAAGAACTGTTACTTATTCCTAAATATTAAAAAGCTTAACATCTAAGCGGGTATATAACTAAATAATAATACTCTACTAGATAAGTATAAATAGCTAGAGAATACTAAAAAAAGAATAGTTAATAAAAAGCCTAAGATTACTCCTAGAAACAAACTCGACCCCCTAAGGCTTTATAAAGCTTCGTCTTTACTATACTAGGTATAGTTCCTAAGAAGCCTAGTATACTTATATAGTATAGAATCGGAAGAGTAGTACTTATATATATACCCTATTATTTTCGAAAATAGTTAAGTATAAAATAACTAGATAGGCTTCGGTAACGTTATAGACTTTAGTACGTTTACCTTAATCTATAATATAAAAGAAGTAATAGAGGTATAAAAGTCTTACTAAAGGGTATACCTCTTTAATATTTAGACTAAGATATAGGTAAAAGAGAAGGACGAGGTTTAAAAGGAAAGACTATAGTACTACTAGGTTACGATTATAAAACCCTATATGAAGGAAGCGGGGATTAACCTACTTATTTAGGACCTAGACTAGACTAAGATAGATATTGACTTCGAGAAAGTACGACTCTAGGACTTAATTAGAATATAATAAAAGTTCTACATATACTTAAAAGAGAAATAGAGATATAAGATAAAAGACGTCTAGATTAGAAGAGGTAGAAATACTAAAGAGGGTATATACGCGGAACTTATAAAAGAGTTTATTTAATTTATTATTACTTATAGTATGAAACTAGTAATTATAGGACCAGAGAATATAGAAAAGAAGTAGTAGGTCGTCTAATAGAATAGAAAGGTACTCCCCTCGATACCTACTACCCTACTAGTATTAAGATCCGGCAGACTACATAGCTACCTAATACCTAGAAGGGTAAAAATAGAACTAAAGGTAGTAAAAAACGAAATAGACTAGAACGATAAACCTATTATACTAGGCGATAGCGCGTAGGATATTAACTAAGATAATAGGCCGATCTTTCTAAACCTATAAAACTGAGACCCTACCTTGTATTCGAGTAAGTTCGCCCTATACCCGGGGTTACTAATTCTAATACCTACGGACCCGGAGCTACTCCTAAGTATAAATAATAAGACTATACTTACCATATACTAGATAGTATATAATAAAAGAAGGGTAAAGGTAAGGAGGTCGTAGTAGAAAGAGATGATAGTATTAAGAATAATAAAGGCGAGCTACTATTAATATAAGGGTCGAGAGAGATAACCCTACGATTATTATAGGCCATTTTAAGCCTAATATCGATAATGGTAAGATAAATAATCGAACCTACCGAGTCCTAGATATCTTGAAGAATATAAAGCGAGGTATACTTAGAGATAATATATAATAGATTAATAGCGTTAGAATTAACACTTAAGATATCTAATAAAGAAATAATTAATACTATTTATATAATTAAAGACGCGAATATAGTAGATAGAATTACTACTAAGAACTAACTTCTTATTAAAAAGAAGGTTCTTACTTGAAAAATAAAAAAGCTTAAAATAAAAGAAAAGGTACTATAATTAAACTAGTATATTAATAAGCGAATGAGGTCTAAATTAAAGTCAGTAAAAAGGTCTCTATCTAAGTCTCTTTTAATTATATTATTATCGTTAAAGAGGTTATTATTATCTATATTAGAGTTAGGTTTATTAGTATAATTAAACTCTCCTATATAGGCTAGTAGGGAGGAGGTTAAACTTAGCTTTAAATCGCGGAGTTAGGGGGAAAAGAGGGAATCTTTTATTTTAATTACTTTTTCGTAGAGATAATACTACCCGGGGAAATAGCCTATATTAGCCTCGAAACCGGGGGTGCTAAAATAGCGGGAAAATATTACCTAAGACGTAGTATTATTAGGTAGCTAGTTGTGTAATAAACTATCAATAGATAGCTCTATATTAGACCTGGATAGGACTAGAAAAGAGTATAGATTCCAAAAAAAAAAAAGTAGGTACTTCTATAGATACTCCGTACGTAGGTACGAAGTATATTAAATATTGCTTTGTACAACGTAAATTTACGTTTGAGTAAATTTAGGTAGAATTACAGTAGAAAGAAGTGTATGGCCTCAAATGGCATCGAATATCGCTATGGACTCGCTCTTTTTCTTTTATTATCCGGTGGCCGAAAGTCTATGTAGAGCCTGTGAAGTCTAAAGGTGCCCTTAGATCGTCCGGGCATGGTTGGCATCGGTTGGCAGCAGGGAGATGCCCGCGAACAAGAGCACGAATTGAGGAAGGTTCGGCGTAAATTTACCAAAAAAATGGAGAAAGTCCAAAAGGGCACTGAGGCAGCATGGAAGCCCATAGCATGAAGTCAAAAAACTGGGAAGCCAATGTGAGTTGTCTTCTGGTCCCAAGTATCCATAATATTATATTGTTGTTGTTGTTGAATGAGAGTGGACGCGAAGTATGCAGGTACCGTAGCAGATTAATGAAATCGAAGATCTGACTGGTAAATAAGTTTCTAGAAAGTTAGAAACGGGGAGATCTGATCTTCGTCCCGTGTACCGTGCCGTACTGGTACGAAGTAGCTACTTCGAGCTACTTTTGAAGTATTATATACTTGTACAGCAGAGTGGCTGAATACGAACGTATCAGACTTCCTTTGTATCATGTTACGCTCCGTACTTCGCCCCCGTCGAAGAGTGCCACCGCCGGTTCGTCGTTTCCTTGATGACCTCATCTCGGGCTTGGTGGTGACAGCTAAAGGGGGCAAAGCATACAAAAAAGCATATCTATCTCACCCAGATGATGTGATAGAAGCCGACCAAACCTACTCCGTTTGGAAGGGAGACAGAAGAAAAGTGTCGTTTCCAAATCTTCATCATCTCCATTCTGTTTTTTAAAGAGAAGTCTGTAAGGACAAGCGCCCGAATCTCGATGAGTTGTCTGCAAGACCAGACCAGCATAAGATCAACTGGTAGTAGTTACGGAGACCTCTGGTGACAGGTCCCATCCAAAACTCTCGTCTCCAAGCCAATCATCCAAGCTTCTTTTTGACAAGCAGGACCTGAGGTTATTGGCCAATCAGCGTAGTTTCATGCATAGAATAGTGGGGCACAACGGGGCTCATCCTTAGGTCCACTCTTCCGACCAAGGGATGCGCTGGTTATCCTCGCGCACGGGCTTAGTGCGGCCACTCATTCCCTGTCATACCCCTGTCAGCTGCTATATCATTGCCTCGCTACGTGTGGAGCTGCCATTTTACTCGCGGTAGGGGCTGTGATTGGTCCACTTTGCCTTCCAGGCCCTTGCAGCGTTGACTTGGCCTGGGACAGGAGCCCTTTGAGACGCTCTGCTCCAACCACCTGCAGATTCCTTCTCAGTCTCTGCCTCTGCCTCTGCTCCTCCCATCCATCCACTCAACCTCGCCATCTGTGGCATCACGCTCGTTCCATTTCAAACTTCTTCCTCCTCTCTGTTTTCTCTCAACTCTGCTCTCAAACACACCTCACCATCGTTTCTGTGCAACATCAGCATCAACATCAACAACACGGCCGAGCTCACTCCCCCAGTTGATTGAAATCCTCCCATCCCCTATTTCTTAGCCACCTCCTTTCACGACCACCACCATCACTTGATAGGTTCTAATATACCGACTACGATTTCAATCAGGTGGAACCTGCCATAATACGATACAACTTTGCTGTTTTCTATCGTCTTCGATTATTTGTGCGCAAGAGACATCGCATCTCGTCCCGGTCAGTCATTTTGGGAAACATAGAAGGGGCACGACACATTTCAACGGGTAGAGGAGCATCAACTAGACATATCAAGGGCTTCTCGGGTTCGCACTTTGGAGGGCCATCAGGGCGAGATATTTCACATCAGGCATCATGTTACGGCAATTTTCCGCATTTTCCTTACTACTACTTGGATCCCTGCCGGCCAGAGTCCTAGCTGGTCAAGTGCTCGAGACAACAAGCTTCAGTACTTGTGACTCGGACGACTCGATCAAGGTTCATAAAGTTGATATCAAATATAATGCAGACGACAAGACGGTGACGTTTGATGTCGCTGGTTCGAGTACAAGAGCTCAGAATGTGACGGTAAGGCCTCAAGACCGACATCTTCTAACGCTCCCCAAAAGCTAATCAAGTACCCACCAGGCAGCTTTGAAAGTCACAGCATACGGCACAGAGGTATACCAAAAGTCCTTTGATCCTTGCGATGAAGGCACGTTCGTGACTCAACTATGTCCTGGTATGTATTTTGGGGAGATATCCGTCTCGACTTTTTCTGACAACGTCAATAGTGCCCGTAGGGGACTTTGCGGCACAAGGAACACAGACCATTCCCGAAAATTACGCTTCGATGATTCCATCGATCGCATTTACCGTTCCAGATATTGCAGCTCAGGCAATGCTGGAGTTGAAGGCAAAAGAGTCGCAAAAGAATGTGGCTTGTTTAACATCAGTGGTGTCAAACGGCAAGACAGTTAATGTTCCAGCAGTCTCTTACGTTGCAGCAGGTATTGCAGGAGCGGCACTTGCACTTACTGGTGCTTCAGCTATTGGAGCTGCTGCAGCTGGTGCTCACGCTGGAGGCGCCGGAACAGCCAGTCCATCGTTCACAGAGGTCTTCACCGTATTTCAAGGATTCGCCATGAACGGAATGATGTCCGTAAATTACCCACCAGTATACAGAAGTTTCTCCAAGAATTTCGCCTTCAGTACTGGCATCATTCCTTGGAGATCTTTCCAAACCTCTATCGACAGTTTCCGAAATGTCACGGGTGGAAACTTGACCCAAGACAGTGTTGCTTTCCTCGATAACGCAACCTTGGTCTATTCTGGATCTTCCAATTCTTCGACCCCTAAGCGATCCCTGGACCTGATGAGCTTGATGGCCAGAGACTCACTTTCCACGTCTACAAACGCCAGTACCGACGCCACATCCACAACTTCTACCATTGAAGCCCAGGTATCTGGGATCAAGGCATACGCCAACCAACTGAGTGTTCCTTCCGCCAACACTTTCATGACCGTTCTTCTCATCGTTGCTTGTGTTATTGCCGCAATCGCTGTCGGTATCTTGTTTTTCAAGGTTATTCTCGAAACCTGGGCTCTCTTCGGATCCTTCCCTAAAGGTCTGACTGGATTCCGAAAGCATTACTGGGGTTCTATGGGTCGTGCTATCGTTCAATTGATTATGCTTCTCTATAGTGTGTGGACTCTTTACTGCATATTCCAATTTACTCACGGAGATTCTTGGGCCGCTAAACTACTTGCTGGTATTACTCTTGCATTATTCACTGCCGTCCTCGGATTTTACACCTTCAAGATCTGGCACGCTGCACGAAAGCTCAAGCAACATGAAGGAGATGTATCTGGTTTATACGAGAAGAAGGAAACCTGGATGAAGTACAGTATCTTTTACGATAGTTACAAGAAGGACTTCTGGTGGGTATTTATCCCCTTCCTCCTCTACGCGTTCGCCAAGGGATGTGTTCTTGCAGCAGCAGATGGACACGGACTCACCCAAACCGTTGCACAATTGATCATTGAGATACTCATGCTTGGATTATTGATCTGGAACCGGCCATTCGAGAGAAGATCTGGTAACATCATCAACATCTTCATTCAAGTTGTACGGGCACTCTCGGTTATCTGCATTCTTGTGTTTGTGGAGGAATTAGGTATCGGTGCAACCACTCAAACCGTCACTGGAATGGTTCTTGTTGCTGTCCAATCTACTCTCACCGGAGTTCTGGCCATTCTCATTGTTGCCAATGCTCTGATCCTGTGCTTCAAGGAGAACCCTCACCGTAAGAGACGTAAGGAAGCAGGTAAGAACAATCTATCAATACTTTCGCATCATTCACTAACATGGTATAGAAAAAATGAACCGTGATCTTGACAACCTCACTCCACTCGATGCCCGCAACAGCTTATTGATGGATCCAAACGCACGATCTCACTACGAGAATGACGTCAAGCACCCTCTTGTCAAGGACAACAGCGCCGATAGTTTCATGAACGAACCTGCAAACCCATACAAAGGTGCAACACCACTGCGACCCTTTGCTCAAAACCACCGCCCTTCGACTTCGGACTCGAGCACTCGAGAAAATTTGGTATCTGGGGCAGCACCTCTAGGCGGCGCTGAACCACGAAATCCTACACTACCCGATTTCTCCAACAACCCCCCACAGCCATATGGTGGATACCGTGGTATGGCGTACTAAAAAAGCATGAAATGTCGAGGCGGTGCCCTTTGTCCATATAATGATCAACTCTTATTTCATGTTTTTTGGGGCGGAATTTGTTTGCTTTTCGTTCTCGCGCGTTTGTACAACCACGTCCACATACCCCGGAAGAATATCCCAAGGATATTCCCAGCTAGCATGGCCTTTCGAAATATTTAGAATAGTGGAGGGACGGCCCAACCCCTCTTTTGAATGAAGATGAATACGGAGTTTTTAGTATATAGAATTGAAAGGGAGGGGTTGGGTTGTGGGAAGTAGCAGCATCATGATGAATATTTTTGGGCGTGAAATCTTTTTCCTTGAGTCGAATTTTTTCATTGAGCGGTTGTTCTACTTATTTTCCTTGTGTTGTCTTTCTTCAAACTTTTTCTTATGTTTTTAGGGCAGGGCTTGTTGGAGGATGAGGGAAGGACGGAGAGAGATAAGAGAGATAAAAAATTTAGTGGATGCTCTTTTATTACCTATTAATTGTTCTTTGTAGTCTTATGATGGTGGCTTTATGCCGTGTCGTTCCCCCACCCTTTTCGCTTCTTGGTGTGTGTGTGGTGTGAGGAGGGTGTAGTGGTGTGTTGGTGGTGTAGTAGGAGATGAGAAAATAGAATCCTGTTGGAGTAAATCCTTTTTTTGGGGGGGGGGAATGTGTGGGTGATGTGATGTGATGTGATTTGTTGTGATTGTGATTATTTAAGTGAGGGGGTTGTCGTGATTTGAAGGGAAGGTAACTGAATTATTAGCTGTGGGCTTTTTTTGGGTTCTTTGGATGTGGTGTTTTGTGAGTAATATAGCGTATTGAAGTTAGGTGCTGTTGGGTGCTGTTGATGATAGTGTGGTTGTTGAGTTGAGTGGAGTTGAGTAAAGTGTTTGTGAGGCTGTGAGGCAGTGATGTTTCCTCGTGTCTTTAGGCGAAGTCTGCCTTCCTTTTGGGAGGGTTGCCGGTAAGAGAGTCGATGGGCTTCGGTTGGAATAGCGGGATATCGAGGGTTGTATTCATTCTTGGAACTATGTAGTTTACCCTTCTCCAGAGTAAGTGAATCCATCCCCTCCTCTCACCAACCGACGAAATCCCCTCGCTTAACCCCCGCCCTAGAAAAAGTTGTAAAATAATATTGAAAAGCATAAATAAACTAGCGACTATTACTGAAAACTGGTATCCTGCCCGCCTGACCCAGTCAGTTAGTGTGTGTCTTCTCATTAGCGCCGTACCATGAAGCTGTTTCCCTCGTCGCTCCGCTCGAAAAAAAAATCACGATAAATTGCGAGAAGGATTTTGGAGAAAAGGGATAAGGAAAAAGGATATGGGAAGAGGTGATTACGGTGGGCGGTGCTAGGTAGGCGTAGGTTAAAACCGTGGTTTAGGATGGAAGGAGGGAAAAACCGGCTACTATATTATGGATATAGTGGTGTCTGAGTTCTCCTGAGAGATCCGTGGGTGGGGGTTTCTTAAGGTTTTGCGGTTGAGGGGGTTGCGTTTGGGTTTTATACTGGTTACTATATACTGCCCGCTTAAATAATTGAGTTCTCTTTAAAGATACAGGGCTTCCGTCCAGAAGTACTCCTTTCGACAAAAGTAGAGCCTCTCCAAAGTTTATATATACTATATGCCATCGAACTCGGAATTCATGTTATGTTGACCAAAGCCTATCTGAGAAGATATCGCTAGCGCATCAGCATTAGCGGCATCGCTCGACTCTGGCAAAAATACGTCGACTCCCATTCACACGTTTTAGGGAAAACATGAAGGTTAATTGGTCTATCGGTGGCTTGGAGAGGCGTCAATGCCAAAGTTTCATCGAAGATAGACGTTTGTACTTGGGTTCTCTAACGTCGATATCGATGGATTATAGGACATGGTTGGAAGAGCTTTCCTAAAATCCCTAACATAGTTTGTATTTATTATTTATCCATAGCCGGAAGAGAGGCCTCACTGAGCCACATAGACTTGAAAAGGTCCTGAAGCTGGGGGATATCCTCCATGGAGATGGTCAGTTTGCCGTGGTGAAGGGGTTCAGGTACTTGGGATTCATCGGCATGAGTGATCTGCCACCATTTGATCCACTTCTCCTTGTGCGAAAGCTTTTCGTCGTAGACTTTCTCCATTTGGCGATATTTAAACAATGCCTACCTCAAAGGGGTTGTAGTTATCCGCATTACTGGTACATATGATTGGGTCCTTAATTTTATCCATTGAATACTCTTTGTCTACAGACTTCTCCTTGAGACTTTTCGCGCATGTTTCACAGCCATAGTGTGCATTTCTGATGTGTTGCCTAATAACGATATGAGTATGAATCCAGGTGAAGAATAGATCAGGCCTACCAAACGTGCCGAAATTCAAGGCCGGCAGGAGCACATCTACGACTTTGAGAATACTGTTCGATATCTGCATTAATAGCTTTCTTTGAGACGGAACAGTTGTATCTGAGTGGGCGCTGTTTTGTCATTGATCTCTTTTGCTTCTTGGGTAATCGGTGTTCGTCGTCTTCTCCATCCTCTCCCTCGTGATTTAGGTTGCTTTGAGAGCCCCTCGTGGACTTGTGTTTTCCTCCACTCGTGTTAGAAGAGATGGCGGAGAAAGATTCATTCGAAGTAGTAGGTGGGGTTAACGAAGGGCATGTTCGATCCCCTGCAGATTGAATCACTTTCTCGGATTGCCATGAGTTCCAGTTGCTACATGCAGATGAAATAACTTTTGCGATCACACGAAGTAGAATGAATACACCCCAAGTAAGCCTGACTTACTACAGCCATGTTTTGTCGGGCATGTAGCTTAGCAGGGGCTTTGTATAATAAAACAGGAGATTTCATACTTACAAATAAGGGACTAACTCCAGTATATAATATTACTTACTAATACCATTAGAACTACTTTATCCCTTCCAGAGCAAAGAGGAATCGAAAAAACTTGCACTTCTAATCGGAGCATTTTCTCCGTAGACAAAGTCGTTTGGCGAACTAGGCCGCGTTTCCAAGCGTTTGCGGTATACTCTTGTTAAGTTAAAGTAAGCTCTTGCCAAGCAATAACGTACTGACAATTAGTATATTAGGGTTATTGCACAAGAGGGTGGCAAAACAGGGCCTAGATATCCTATCTTGCTAAGTCCGTTCCGTGGTATATTAGTGGAACCGCTCTAAAAGATCGCTAGAAAAGAAAGGGCGGTGAAATTTCAGGGGTGTTTAAAGATGCCTAGGTAGATAATCAAATCATCTGTAGTACGAGTATTAGATCCATGTCAACAGGTAACAGGCTTCTCGTTTTGAAGATATTGTAATAATGTAGCTCTATGGTAAATCTGCTTTCCCCATTCCAAAGGAATTTATAAATTGACCATAGGCGTCAAGTGTTAGAAATGAGCAGGTCATTTTCTCACCGCAATTTGGTCACTATGTCGGTCGTACATGTGTTCTACCGGTTGCGATTTTCAGCTCAATGTTCCGGTGACGATGTTGGGCTCTGCCAGAAGTACAGTGCTATCAGCTCTCATGTATGTACTCCATTTTCAATCACTTCTGCGTGAAGGTAAGATGTCAATACATTAGAGCTTAGAACGTGATGCTATTATACCCCACTGTATCGAATTTTTATTTTCCTGTCAGCATATGACATCATTCTACGTATCTGTCGGTTGTTATTGGTTTGAATCAATTTTATCAATACATCATTGTACACCGGGTAAACAATGTACATAAACAACCCGTCCCTAGGGAAATTGTGGTCCCAGGAGGCTTTTTATCCCGCATTTGATTTGACCACTATATACTCGAGTACATTAGCGGACTCGGAAAGTGCCATAAGTGTACTGTTTCTTTCCTGTGATGCATGTGATGCTATTCCTTATACGTGTTAGTGTTAAGAGACCGCTTCTACTGACAGGAAAATTTATGTCGAGTCAAGCTTTGCCGCAGCTTAGCGGCAGTTTCAAGTGGCCCACAACTCAAGGTATTCGGTCGAATTCCCCTAGTCTTTGGCTTAAGATCGTGATGCATGTTTGTAAACAGTGCTCTTTCCTTATCATCGTGAATCGATGTAAGCTCTTCTGGTTTAGTTCAAAGTTATGGTGTGCTTACCTCCTGTATGTATAAAAGGTCTCATGGCCCAATCTTGTTGTTCAACCCTAGATCTAGAAAATTTCTTCGCCGGGATTTTTTGAGTACTTTGCTGCGAATTTTAGCGATATCTTCTGGACATCCTAGGGAATTTGAGGATCATACTTCCACAATACGGTACTACGTCTCCCAAAATGCTTATTACGCCTCAATATGATCCTTTGAAGGACTTTTCCGTAACTGGCATAACTTCAATCATAAGCCAGAAGCGGAAGATTATTTGTTTTTCAGGTTCGTTCTTGCTAAAACACAGCTTTCCATAATCCACCCGAAACCCCCACAACACCAGAAGTTCCACAAATGACTCTTTTCACAAGTTAATTTATCCCATAGATTTTGACGGAACCATCTTCATGCAAGATACCGGTCACATTCTCTTTGATGCCCATGGCTGCGGCTCTGCCCGACGCGAAAAACTCGAAGCACAACTCTCCTCTGGCGAACGCTCTTTCCGCGACGTCTCGGAGGAAATGTGGGGTTCTCTCAACGTTCCTTTCGAAGATGGTTTCGAGGTCATGAAAGAGAAATTGGAAATTGACCCTGATTTCCAGACTTTCCATAAGTTTTGTGTAGATGAGGGGATCCCATTTAATGTCATTAGTGCAGGGCTGAAGCCAATTTTGAGGGCTGTGTTAGATGAGTTCCTCGGAGAAGAAGAGGTATGTGCTCTTCTTGTAGAGATATTGTTGGTGATCTTGAAGGGCGGAGGTTAATCCATGTGTAGAGCCAGCATATTGAAATCGTAGCCAACGACGCAGAAATCAACCCTGACGGCTCAACTTGGACCCCAATCTGGCGCCACGATACACCTCTGGGGCACGACAAAGCCCTTTCCATCACGGAATATCGAGAGCAAGCCGCTGCTTCCCTCAAGCATGATCCATCTCGAAACCACACCCTGCAACCCGTCGAAACCATCCCCCTCATCGTCTTCATTGGCGACGGTGTATCTGATCTCCCCGCCGCAAGAGAGGCAGATGTTCTCTTCGCGCGGAGGGGATTAAGGCTTGAGGAATACTGCGTTGAGAATAAGATCAAGTATATCCCCTTTGATACTTTTGCGGATATTGGGAGGGAGGTGAAGAAGATTCAGAGTGAGGACGAGGAGGTCACTAGAGGGCTAGGCAAGCCAGCTAGATTCAATCCCAGAGCTAATATGTGGAGGAGGGTCAGTAGTCAGGCTGCTGTAAGTTGTTCTTTTTCCGTTTTACGTGTAAGCTTTTGGAGGAGGCTGACGTGTTGTAATAGGTGCCGAGATTGGTGGCTGCCACGCCTAGTAAGGAGCAGAAGATGTTCTTGTGGCCAGAGGCATTTTCGGAGTTGAAGGGAACTTCGACGATCGTGGAGGCTGTGGCTGCTTAAACTCTCCGCATTTTACTAAGGCTTTTTAAAAGTGTATCTTGTTCTTGTTTACATTTTATCTCTACCAATCTCTGCTTTGTAGATGACTTTTAGGGAGTTCATATTCTCTTTGAGTTTGTTAAAATTAGTAATACTATCACTGATCGGCCTAATTATTCGGCTTTATTAGAGTTATACTTGCTTTACTTTTATTACGGCATTACTATTATGGCACTATAAATAACTAGTCTTCCATCATTATTTATAATTCATGTTGAATAACTCGTTTATACACGTGTCCTTATACGCTCTTTCTAAACGGGTCTATAAATTGACTCGTATTAGCGTACTAGCTTAGCTTGAAGTGATTTTATCTATATAAGGTATACGTTCTTCTGTAGCTAGAAATTAAGGCACTTTTTACTTGTCTTAATAGACTTATACTATTAGATTCTACCATTTTAATCTATCTATAGTACTTTATGGATGCTATAAGCCTAGGGAGCTAGTAAATCGACGCCCGGGTGTTTAGTATTTCGACGCCCCCCCTCGCCTAATTTATAAGAAATTCACTACCCTTTAGTTAGTAGTAAATACAGTTCCTATTTAGGCGAGTAGGTTTTTTTTAAGCTAGTAGGAGGGTAATAAAAGTTTTTTACTAGCGTATATACTTTGAACTTAACGTTGAGGCTATTCCTACTTCTCGCGTACAACGTCTTTGTGAAATATAGCGGAACTATCACGAGTAACTAGTATTCACTCTCTATATAGCTACGTGTAGTACTGCCTAATGTAGTACTAAGGGCACTTGTCTATATTGTTACGGAGTTGGAGGGACTGGGGTCTGGTCCCGTGTAGCACGTCACGTGCGTGCCGCTGGCATCCTGTATTTAAGCTTCCGTTCCTCTGTAACTCTCTTCTCTCCTCACTTAGTTGTTCGCTCTATACAGCAGTTTCCGTTTGACTCCGTATTCATCACAGCAAGCAGTGGTTCACTCCACACGGTTACATATATAGAGAGTAAATGTCCCCGGACACTTATCTAAAGGCTCTATAAAAGCGAACAAGCGTCCTAGACTCTTGTAACTTTTAAGAGGGGGCTTTTTATATAATTAGTTGTAAAATTTAATTTAATTAATTTTACTTATAATTATTTATTATTTGTAATACTTGTAGATACGTAATACAGCTACGGACGGACTTTCTGTAAGAATTAAGTACTTACCTAAAAATGTACTTGTTAACTTAATCTTCTTTTTTTTAATATACCCCTTAAATAATATAATATAGACGTATTAATAAATAATAGGGGGTTACTATACTTTTAAAGGCGTAGTATCGAGAGAAAGGTAGAGTTGTTACGAATGCCGTACCTAAAGCTCGGACCACCAATTAGGCGAGGGAGGTAGGCGTCGAAATACTAAACACCCGGGCGTCGATTTACTAGCTGCCATAAGCCTAGCGCTAACTTTTAGAATTATTATATATTATTAGATGCTTAGGGAGTTTTATCTATATGTCTACCATTACCTTGATATTTAACCCCGAAACACATGACAAACTAAGAGAAAGCTCACTGGCGGCGAAGGATAAGATAAATAGTAGCCAAAAACTTCTAGGCTACACTCTCGGTGGCCGAAGATATAACCGAATTTTGATGTCCCATATTTCCTTCAGAAATAGAGGTAAAGGTACAAATAGTAGTAAGCTGTCAACAAAGCTTCCATCTTCAACTAGAGATGTCTTTTATTATTACCTTGGTTGTATTTAGCTCCATAATGGTGTTTATTTCTGTTTGGGCGACTGGTTATCAACGTGCCTTGCTGACCAACCTTATCTCAATTCTAGTCCAGGTACGTACAGCTAGCGTCTTCGGTGCCGGATATTCTTCATTTATCAGATATCACGAGTACAGAGCTAATTCGCACTGGAATTACCTCCAGTGGCGTTACAGGGTGACATCACTTGATGGCAAGCATCATGGCATACCAACTTGCCCATACCAGTGGCCCAATGGCCAGGGAGATACAGGGAAGTTCCTTCAGGGAATTGAAAATTGTGCAAAATGGCGAAGTAAATATGGAGGGGTATATCGTTTATGGTCTGGTATGAATCAGGAAATGTGAGCCACTCCCGGTCGATTTCTGACACGACATTAATGACCATTTTACTTTCTTTTTGAAATCATGTTATCTTTAGTAACTAATATTTCTTTGAACCGTAGTGTTATCAGCCGCCCTGAAGATATCAAAATTGTTTTCTGGGATTCTAGCCGTCATAAAAAGGCAGTAGCGAACGATTCTGGCTTTCTGATGCTTCAGCTTCTGGGTGACTGTTTAGGGCTTATAAGCAAGCAAGAATGGAGTGGATTGCAAAAAGTTGTTGAGCCCTCCTTTCGTGCCTCGACGAGTAATTCATACCTACCGTTCAATAGGCAGTCCACTAAACAATTTCTGGAAACCCTGTTACCCCAGGGTCACGACAAACCATCGCAATATGCTCTGAACCCACTCGAGGATCTGAAGATGCTGCCATTCCGCATTGTAACAAATATCATATATAGAAAATTGGATAAGGAGATCTCAAGACTGGAAAGTCTGATTCCTCTGCGCGAGAGCCTATGGAATCATATGATTGCTGGAGGTGTGATACGATATCGATGGAGCAGATATTTACCTTTGGAAACCAACAAAAAGCTTCGCGCCTGGAAAGAGCAATGGGAGTCATTCAATAACCATGCTGCTTCCAAAGCAAGATATCTGTACGAAAAATCGAATGGCGAAACTCAGAAGCCTACCATTCTAGACTTGTACAGCGCTATAGAGAAGCGTCAGATCTCTTTCCCACAAGCGTTGCAGACAATTGATGAGATGCTGTTTGCAAACCTCGACGTCACAATGGGTGGAATATCTTGGAATTTAGTTTTTCTAGCTGAGAATGGTGCTGCGCAGGACAAGCTCAAGGCAGAAATTGATTCTCTGCAGAATGTCCATAGAGGAACATTCAGAAGTGTACCCGAGGATTGGATACCCGACGCATACAACATCTCTTCGAAAACATTTCTCCATGCTTGCATCCTCGAATCAGCGCGTCTCCGACCGTTAGCCGCGTTCTCTGTTCCTCAGTCGGCGCCAACTTCACGAATCGTTGTCAGAGGCGAAGGGAGCTGCGGCTACTTGATACCGCCGAATACCAACTTCGTTATCGACTCGCATGCTCTGAATATACACAACCATTACTGGGGCTCAAGCAGAGAAGAGAGGGAGACGTATTGCCCCGAGAGATTTCTCCAACAAAAAGGGACCGAATTGCGGTACAACTACTGGAGGTTCGGGTTTGGACCACGCCAGTGCCTCGGGAAGCACGTCGCAGATCTGATCATAAAGCAGGCATTGATACAGCTACTAAGTAATTATAAAATTCTTCGGCAGATTCTGGGGAGTAAATTGGAGGTTAATCTGGATAGTGGTAGCTGGATAACGCACCCTGACGTCTTGCTTCGCTTGGAGAAGAAATGAAATAAATAGTTACAAGCAGGAGCATTGCAAAGTTCATTTGCTACAGCCCACAACATATCGTGTCCACTTTAGTGCCGAAATTATTCTCTTCTCTACTACTGCCTCTAACCATGGTCTCATTTTGTTCTCTCTTGGGGGCAAGAGCAACTAACTCTTATTGAGCTACATTCCAAGCTGCCCGAAATACTTCTGGCTTGTCAATGAAATATCGAGCTTCTTTGATGGCGGGCCGGGGGCGGGGTCGGTGCGGAGGGTCGGGGTGAGAGCGTGTGGGTCACGTGAGAAGAGGAAAGCCTACCACCAAAAGCCTTTATAAAGAGGGTTTGAAACTGAGATAAGTGCGAATGGCGCACCAAAAGCTTGCCCACCTATTACGCTAGGAGGAGGGGAGCCGATTTACCGGCTGCCGAAGTTACGCTATGTATATAAATTTGATTGGGTTGATGTAGTGCATTGTAGGAGGCTTGAAGGAAAATATGCTAATATTAGGATGAACAGGTATCACTGTGTTGCATGCTAAAGCAAGTGTTGCTAGCTAAGTTCCTACGTACTTATAAATGTCATTGTACGCTAGTCCCAAAGGAGAGGAGCAAGCTAGCTACCTAATATCCATTCACTATTATTATGATTCCATTATGTAGCGACAATCACCCATGAGTAAAAATGCAAATACACACCATCAGTATGTAAAGTAGAAAATTACGTCTAGGTCAAATTCCTAGATAGCAGTAAAATACGTCATGGATCCTTGTCTCAAGAAGGAAGAGGCCGTTGTACCACTCTAACCTCAATCCATAGGGTCGTCGATGACGATACACCGTACCTCTACACTTTCCCTAGGAGGGGCATCAGGTGGCACATTTGGATCTTGGAAGGCGGCATGTGGACACACTACCCTGCTATTAGCTTTCAAACTTTCTTTCTGTTACACAAAATGAGCTATAAGCTTACTATTCGCTGTTCCATCATCCTTACTATCCCAGATCTTAATCAGGGTAATTTCATCTACCTCTTGTTTATCGAGGTAATACCAGTTCTGCTTCACGTTATTTTTATACGTTACAGATTGCCCTCGTTCCTCGAATTGGTGGCGCCAAAGATCGCAGTTATGAATGTCGGTCTTTGATAAAGTTTGAAAGTCCATGGTTGCTAAGGGCCAATCTGGGACTGGTCCAAGGAGAGGACGCCAAATACTGAAGGGGTCTGTTAGCTGGGTCCTGGGATTAAAGGGGTGGGGTAGAAACTTTATCATTCGTATTCGTCCTTTGAGAACACATTCCAAGTCCTCCTCGTGGGCAATGTTTTGCCTCACGCGACGCAGAGCTCCCTTGCCGGACCTAAAAACGTTAGGCATTTCTCCCTATTGCAAGACGATTTCATATTTACTGGTCGCAATGTACCTGCAACTTGTCAGTTCTGTCTTGACATCACCATGCGTTTCCAACTTACAACAGTAGCAGGTTGTTCCTTCCCATTTGGATTCTCCTCCTTTTTCATACCCGGGTCCTTCTTTCTAACAGTATAGTCAAAGATAATCACTCTGTTTGCGCCAGTAATTCTCTTCACCAACCACTCCACCTTTGGGTAATACAAATCCTGCACAACTTCCTTGACCCCAATTCTCAATGCTTCCAACAGCTCCGGTGTCATGGTATCGGGGTCATTTGTATAGCAGAACCCGTTCTTGTCAAGACTGAAATCTTCCTTGTGCGGCCGAGCATTGGTAATTTTTACTGGGTGTTCGACCCAGGAAAAGTTCTGTCTCGCAAATCCTTCATCTGGGACAGATCGGTAAAACGGGTTGCCGCGAGAACTATCCCATGGTTCGAGAAAGGACATGGTGCCTAAGACCTGGGAGCTATCTGCAAGATTTGTTGATTGCAAGTTTTCTCCATTCGAAGTGGGTGTTTGGTAGGTACCATTAGTGTTATCCTTTTCTGTGTTCGTTTCATTCGAGTCGGCTGTTGTCTCGGGAGACTTGGGATTCAGAAATACGTTAGCATCCTCATTCCATATTGGCACAAGCTCGATCGCAGCCGGCCACGCATTTCGAAGGTGGTAGATATTACTAACCTCCCATCTTGTCTGCCTTGCCAACGATCTCCACTGTGATTCATCCCTCTCCTGACCATTCGCACTAATTGCCATCGTCAAATCTCCATATCTCGCTAATCGCCCCATTCTACCATCTTTTAACAGCGACTCAAGAATCACCAACCTACTCTTAGGACCACGAATTATCGCTTTCCAGATATTGTCCATCACTTTCAATGCCTTCGAATCGTTCCAATCATGCAAACACCATTTCATAGTATACACCTCAAACGCCGGAACTTCGACCAAAAAATCCCCAACAATCAGGTTATCCCTCTTCACTCGCTCTCCCACATCCGCATAATCCCCTTCCGGATTATGGAAATTATCTACTGCATGCTGAATCACCCTCTCCGTATCCAAAATCGCCCCGCGCATCCCAACGTGCTTCCTCAAAAGCAACGCCACTAATCCGCCTCCTCCCCCGCCAACATCAAGAAAACTCTCCTCCGCAACCTCTTCCCACGGGTAATCCTCCAAAATCCCCGGCGCCTGCGCAGCTGCTCCTCCGCTGAGCGTTTGGTGAAGTCGTGGAAGCCAACCTTGCGAGGTAAAATAGGTGAAAATGTCTTCGTCGGTGTCAAAATTTACTTGGCCTGCCATGCGGGGTTCATCGATGCGGCAGGAAGCGGGAATTCCACGCGCGATATCGTAGAATTCGTTGCCGTAGAGGTCTACCCAGTTCCGCCATTGTGTCCAGTGGTCGGCGAGGAGAAGGGTAGAGGTGCTATTATTGCTGTAGGTGTCTGCTTCCACATCGTATTTGAATATTCCATCATTGTGAAGCATACGCATGACTTGTCGTAGACGATGTGGATGTGCATTGGCGTTATTTGCCAGATCTCTCAGAGTTCTGGGACCTTCACGGAGAATATCGGGGATGTTCAATTCCACAGCTGCACAGAGGCATTTTGAGTTCAAGTATCCTGGGATTTGGCTAATCAATCACCTCTTTTAGGGCAGAATATACGTACCAAGAAATTAATCAGCTAGTACAAGCGATCTAGGTTCGAGTAGTTGCTCGGTTTCATGGAGGAGATCAATAGCTTCGCTGGCAAGTGAAGCGATTCGCTTGCTGGGAAGTTTGTCATGGTTGTGTAGAGTTGCTTGGAGTTCGTCCGAAGCATCGCCTTTGAGTATTTTCAGGGCAGATTTTAGGGAGTCGATGAGGTGGATGAGTGTGTAGTCCATTTTTGGCACCCTTTTCTGCTGTTATGAGTTTAATGGATTGTTATCATGGCTTTTGATTTGAGGTAGGAATATCGTAGATATTTAAATTCCCTCAGAATTCACTAGATTATGCTTCGCATCCCAATCTCGGCCTCCGAAAAAATTCTTGGAATGTCTAGGAATGGAAGACAATTGAAAGTTGTACTAAAATCTTCCATTTTCTTGTTTCAGGTTATCACTGTGGCATTTGAACATGTGTTGTATTACTCGTGTTTATGATTGTATTTCTCATTATTGGTAGTTTTGGGAAACCTTCTACTACATTTGAGTCTCAAGAAACGATTTCTCTAGCTGTTGAGTTTCTCTTTCGAGACTCTTCATATATTTATCACGTTCTCGTAAGACCGCCTCCTTCCCGAACACGTTATCCATGATCCCAAGAGCAGCTTTCAGTTCGTTACTTGGAATAGCAAATCCAATACGAGCCCAGCCTTTCTCATTTTCTGGCCCATGGTATCCACGTCCGCTGCTCACCAAAACTCCTGCATTCTTCATTCTCTGCACTAATCTGCTCTCTTCGACCCAGGTATCGCAATTTGGCGCAATTTGAGCATAAATATATAATCCGGAATAGCAAGGGAAATACCGCAATTTATGCCTTTTCAAGACTTTCACCACCTTCGAATATCCAGTAGATAGAAGCTCGGAATTCTTAGCAAATACATCCGGCAACTTTGGGGAGGTGAGAATGGCTGAAGCACAAATTGAAGACAGTGATGAGGTTGTTGTATGTGAAGCTAGTGTTACTCCAACTGCCATTTCTTTATTTCCCTGAGTTATCGTACAGCCCTAATATTCTTAAATCAGCTCTGCGAGGACGCAAGCTTTGAAGTATGACTTACGATTCGCATTCCGCTCTGTCCTAGATCTTTGCTAGTACTCCACACAATGTGAACACGAGATAAATCGCATCCGATTCCCGCTATATCAAGTGATAGTGCCGAAGCGAAGGGTACCGGTTCGGGGAAATCTGGACAAGAAAAACTCGTCATACCGTGTACTTTATCGGAGATATAATGTATGTCTTTTCGCTGGCAAAATTTGATGCATTCTTCAATCACCTTTACCGCATAACATTGCCCAAGGGGGTTTTGGGGGTTTGAAATCAAGACTCCACGGATTGGAATTTTGGAGTTTTCAAAAGCTGCTTCTAGTGCAGGGACCAAAGATCCGCTCATTGCAGAGTTCAAGTCTGATGTTACTACAGAAACCGGGATTACAGACGACCTCGCTTGAAATTGGAAATCAAACCCACCTATTTTGTTTAGCCAATAAATTTTCAAAGGAGAAAATACGTAATCCAATACGGGCCTGGCACCAAAATTCCATCCCCAGGATCACAGATGTTATACAACAAAGTATCAATACAGCTCGCCGCCCCAGGAGACGTAGCAAGATGCTCCTTCTCTACCGGAATCCCGGGGTTAAAAAACTTATTTAAAAAGCCCTTAAATGCTTCCAAAACCTCAGGGAATCCCGCAAAAGCTCGGGGATACGAGAGATATATGGGGTGTAGATTGTTTGCGATTGCATCTTTACAGATTTCGATGATATCAGGTCGTATTAGCCAATTCTCCGCGGAGGCTAGGTCGATTTGGGATCCTGATGAGCGGGCTGCCACCGCAGCGGCGACTTTGGGCATTACTGCTGTAACATTTGAGCCGCCACGGGCAGATAAACCAGGAAACTTTTTGCTTGACATATTTTCGGCTTATTCTTGGTATAATTGTTGGTTGATTTGTTCTAAGTGGCTATCTGCTTGGAGTAATATTTATTCATTTTTGACTCTTGCCAAGACCTCTCGGCTAACTGGTACTGTACTGCACCGGGCCCCGCCAGTTCGGAAACCGGAAAATACACAACCACGGTTTATGAAACCACCTTCTAGGAAAAGGTTGAAGTTCTCCACAATTCACCTCACATAGACTCAAATAGTTCTCAAAGAGAAGAAGCAAACATCAAAATCATTCTACAACATGTCTATGGAGTTGTTATCTGCGCTTTATTACGCCTACCCTGCGAGTTTATGTGTTACGCTTTTGGCGTCTTACCTTTTCTCCTATAGCCAACAGAAGAGCGTCAAGAATGAAAATCTCCATCATAATCGATCATTTACCTTGATATGGTGGTTGCAGGCTGGTTTATTACTTGCACTAGTATGCATTTTGCTGTTAGTATACTTCGTTCAACAACTGAAAACCTTTAGTGTGCGAGCATTTTCGGAAGTGTTATGAGATATCAGAAAGAAATCAGCTACAAGATTGATTTGCAATTTTTCCAAGCGGAGCTGGTAAGATTAAATATTAACCGAGAAGAGCAAATATTAATTGACCTTTAGGCGTCATTCATAGCCCTCACCGTGTACTTTGGTTCTGGGCTTTTACCCGATCCAGATGGCCCATTTACACCAGAGAGACCAAACTTTCACACCTGGATTCTAGCACTTTGGTTTGAAGTAACAATCGAGATCGTTGATCAGTTAGCAGTAAAGGAACTTGGGCATGTGAAACTGATGACAAGTGTCCTAGCAGTGCTCAGAATAGTTTTGCTTCTTTTGATAGGTGCAATATTTCTGCACCATGATAGACTCTATCTTCGGAGCAATGCTCATGGTACTGATCCTGAGAGAGAGGCTATTATCGTTAACAATAGCTCTACTTTCAAATATGGCACTTCAAGCTCAACTCCAATATCAAGAGCATCGGTAGGAGGATGGCTTGACTATTTTTATGGATTTAGAGGACTATTCCCATATATCTGGTACGTGAAACACATCTCAGCTCCTAACATGGACTAATTTGGGACGTAAAGGCCTTCTGATTCAAAACGACAGCAGCTTGTGACAGTCTTTTGCTTCGCACTCTTAGTTTTCCAGCGAATTATAAATGTCATGGTTCCTCACCAACTCGGTGAACTCGTTGATTCACTGGGACAAGGTACAATACCTTATAAGCAAATCGAATTGTACTGTTTTTACCGAGGTCTGTAAGGTCAACAAGGCATCACAGGTTCTCTCCGTGCCATTCTCTGGATCCCAATCAGCCAATCGCTCTACCGTCGACTCACGAGCGCAACATACTCACATGTTTTACTACTATCTTTAGACTTCCATCTAAGTAAACGAATCGGAGAAGTCATAAGTGCTCTTGGAAAAGGTGGCGCCTTAAACACCTTTCTAGACGGATTCGCGTTTCAGCTTTTCCCCATGGTTCTCGATTTAGGGGTCGCTGCTGTGTGGTTATTTATCCAGTTTGATGCAATTTACTCAATTATTGTTGTTGCTGTTATGTGGAATTATATTTTTGTCACGATTTACATGGCCAAGTACCGGGGGAAATCGAGGCGAGAAATGGCGACTCGAGAGAGAAATATGGAGGCTGCTAAGTAATTATGAGCTCCTGGATTCCTTCATGAAATAAGGAAATACCAACTGACTTCCTATCTTTCTGTTCAGAACAGATGCTATTATGGCATACGAAACAGTTCACTACAACAACGCAGTTCCACTAGAAACCTCCAAATTCCGTCAACTGGTAACGACATTCCAGAAAGCCGAGTTCTCTATTTTACTCTCCCTCAACGTCCTAAACGCAACACAAAACGGGATTTTCATCCTTGGCGTGATAATAGTATGTGGTTTATCTGCCTATCAAATCTCCATCGGTGTTCATAAAGTCTCTGATTTCGTCGAGCTTATCTCGTATTTCGCGCAACTGCAAGCGCCGCTAGCCTTTTATGGAAGCTTTTACAATCAAGTACAGAATAACCTTGTGGATGCAGAGAGGATGTTAGAACTATTCAACACTACATCCGACATCCAAGATAATTTGAGAGCTAAACCCATAGAGAGGATCCAAGGACGAATCACTGTTTCCAATCTTACGTTCGCGTATAGATCGACCCGACCGGCATTGGACGATATTTCTTTCACTGTGGATCATGGAACTTCCACTGCTATTGTTGGGGAAAGTGGGAGAGGGAAGTCAACGATTCTGAAGCTGCTTTTTCGATTTTACGAGCCGTTGAGCGGGAGTATTTTTATTGATAATGTTAATATGCAAGATATTACTATCAAGAGTTTAAGGAAGCATATTGGATTTGTTCCTCAGGACACAGTTCTTTTCAACGAGACGATATTGTATAACCTATTATACGCAAGAGAAGATGCGACGGAGGAAGAAGCTCAGCAAGCGTGCAGAGCGGCGAGTATCCACGATAAGATTCTGGGATTTCCAGAGGGGTATCAAACTATGGTTGGGGAGAGGGGTTTGAAGCTTTCTGGGGGTAAGAAACAGAGGGTATGTATTCTTTTTCTGGTATCATTCTCGATCTCTCAATGTTATTCTTTTCCTAATATTGACGTCGCTTCTAGGTTGCTATTGCGCGAGCAATCTTGAAGAACCCGCAAATTATGCTGCTAGATGAGGCAACCACATCTTTAGATACGGCGACAGAGAGATTAGTCCAAGGAGCTCTGGATAATGTTACAACTGGGAGAACAACAATCACAATCGCGTAAGTAAACATTTAAACCCGTCCATGCACATGAACCTTGCTAAATTCTAACCTCTCCTCTGGGGTTTCAGTCTTAGGCTTTCCACAGTTACCCATGCAGATCAGATTTTGGTAATGGATAAGGGTAGAATAGTAGAGAGAGGGACTCATTCTAAATTGCTGGCTTTAGGGGGTATATACGCAAATATGTGGGAGAAGCAAACAGAGACTGTAAAAGAGAAAGATGTTTAAGGTAAACATAGGCGATGTGAGTTAATTGGATATGGGCACTTTAACATAATCTCCAGATAGACTGCTAAAATTCACTTTTCTCTCGCATCAGCAATGGTTGCTCCTCTGGAACGACGTTTTCCCCCAAACCAGAGATTGAGTTCAAAGCAGATGTGCAGGTGCGGTCCACTTCTGCATGTCCGTCCCCTTTTCCAAAAACAGGAGCAAAAAGTACATCATGAGTAAACCAGATGAGCCGCACCATAAATCAAACAAGCAGAACAACCCACTTAGGAGCACATCCATCATCTTTCATAGTTGAATTAGTAATCTTCTCCATGAGTCCCATTACCGGTCCCCACACCGCAAGAAACAAGGAGGCCCCAGCTTTCGCTCTCCGTCTTTGGGGAGGCTCATAGATGGGGCACGAATCCAAGAAATCTTGGTACTCATGAGGCATCTTCATTTCTAGGGAGCCTGTGAGAATGATGTCCTGATTGAAGTTAGACTAGGTAAGTCGTTAAGTATACCAATCGAGAAGTTGGAATAGAGGTTTACCATGTACCGCCGACTCGGCTTCGGCCAGGGGCTTCGCTTCATCGCGGGTCCCAGTGTTCTGACCTTGATCTGAACGCCGGTGAGCTTAGTATCCTCGTCACCAACTGGCTCGGCATCCACTTCGATATTATCGTAAGCGATGCCACCACCTTCGGAAGCCAGAACACGTATGTAACCACATCGACAAGCACAATCCTCTCTTCAAGACAATGCCCATTGCGAGGCTCTAACTCGAATTCAGCAAACCAGCCAGTCGTATCCACCTACTTACCTACTATACGAGTTTCGGAACACCTTGTGGGAAGGCTGAGGAAGCAGGAGGGGTCGTAGGGGTGGTTATATACTCGACAAAATCATCAAATCCTCGAGACAGCAACACAAAACCTATTGGCACGGTACCATACACACGATTACTACGATTAAAGATTAGTGCCCTTTGATCGATCAACCTTTTCCTAGTACGACACCTGTCAGAAAAACAGAAGTGGAGGAAGGCTAGGAATAGAGGAAAGTCGCACCAGTGGGAATGCCCGGGTACGGGGAAGTGGTGAAAACCGCTGTCTATGGGTTCTAGAAGGAGAAGAGGATATAAGGGGAGAGGATAGTAGAGGAGGGGAAGAGCAAGCATTGTTTATTTCCTTTGTTATTTCCTTTGTCCACACGGGGCATCGACCCCTAACATCTATTACAATATAGGGCAGTATCGACGTAGGCATACCCGATTAAAAGCTAGAGATGGGCTTTTGAACTTTTCTATCTTGAAGGCTCCTTGTACTTAGGTATAGAGCTAAATCCAGCCCGAGGCCTGGTCGTCCTACGATAGTCATTGACTTATACAGGACGTTAACAGGAACAAACAAACAAACAAAAATAGTCTTTGTGTCAAGGCCAGACTCTTAACTTAAATATTTAACACTAATTCGCAGCTGCGTCTTGAGAAGTTTTCTACCTCCTGCAGGCTGACAGCGCTCACGTCACCTATAGCGCCTTCGGTTCACCAACAACCATATGATTACTGTACTTTCAGCAAACTTAATGTGAGCATTCAAATGCATGAGCAATCATGCAATTGAGCGGCTGCGTCACTACCTGAGTCATCTAACATGATTGAGCGCACAACAATAATCCCAAGCGTCAGTCGTTCCGCCCTATTCTGTATTAATTGGACGTAACCGCTAATGCCTGATGAAGTTAAACCACGAATCGCATGCCGATGATTTATCTATCAGGTATCTCAAGGTCCCTGGGTTGTTTTGATTTTCCCGATACGGAGAAAAGTTAAGCCGGAATGGAATTCCCTGCCCCTCATCACGGCCCCAATTGTATACGTCCCCAAGAACGGGAACTTACTACATTCAAGCCTTTTCACTGCGGCCTGAGATCCCAACTTCTATTCTTCTTCCATATACTCTGAATCCCGTACTAATATGCCTGCTCTGAGACCAGTTCGAGAGTCGATCCTCGAAATCGACGACAATTCGTGGATCATCGGGGGTGTGCTTCTTCTCTCCTACAAGACTATTGCGCCGTCGTCGGGTTGTTTTTGGAGCGATGGTGGAAGCGCGTTCTACACCTTGTCCGAGCTAGCTCACTCACAGCAACCAACTCACCCACTCTCCTCCACCAGCCGAGTACAGTTGGTGCATGATGCTGGTGACTGTAATGCAGCCTGGCGAATTGGTGAGGCGTTCCTGAAAGTACAAGCCCTGAGCACCCCAAGCAGAACACGCGAACACATCACACTAAACTATCTACACGACCCCGCAAATGGCTCTGTCCCGACGTTTCCAATTCCACGCGTCCTCTACCATACAGAACACGATAATCGATACTACCTCTTCACAAGTCGAGTACCAGGGAACACACTAGAAAAGGCTTGGCCAAACATGGAAGAGGAAACGAATCAAGTGTGCGTCAGACGAGTTGTGGATATCTGCAAAGAGTTAGCGCAGAGGGAAAATAACAAGATATGCGGAGTTGATGGGGGTGACCTATCAGAGAATTGGATGAAACCTCCTCAAGCACCTGATGGATATTCACACGAAATGTTACTTGCATATTGCAAAGAAGTCGAGATGAATTGCGATTCTTTTGTATTGCACCATTGCGATATGGGACCAACAAATGTCATCATTGATCTGACTGAAGGCTGCAAAGTTGGACTTGTTGATTGGGAGGTGACCGGATTTGTTCCTAAGGAATGGATTAGGACGAAGTTTTGCGTCTGTTGGGCCATGAATTTCGACTTCCCCAGCGACGATGTGAAGAAGAGCATGGATTGGAGACAACGAGTTCAGCTTGACTTAGAACGACAGGGTTTCCTTGAAGTCGCGGAAGCATGGAATAGCCGATTCTCGAAGGGAAATTCAAGTGCAAGCACAAATTAGTAAGGAGTGTGAGCACAATCGAGTCCACATTTGGGAGGTTGCGTCATGTTGAGGATGTGTGTGCGTTAACTAAGTATTGGACCAGGCAATTCTTAATAGCACTCAACAGAAAGAGTGTCATAGATTCATATTGAATCACAAAACATGTCAGAAGCCCATACCCAAACAAAAATATTGCCATCGCCTTGGACAATGAACCTCGTACTAATCGTGACATATTGTTGGGGCTTATGAAATAGCATGAGGCTCTAGTCTGATGTCCCAACTCATGTGCAAAGGCGTGCAAAGGCCGTCAAAGGTCATGTGGAACAGCAGAAAAATCCTAGAGTGACAGGAGGGATCAGCTAATGGTTCTATGTTTGGTTAGAATACTCATACTTCACACGACCTTTCTAAGCGGTGTTCTTGGCTTTCCCACATGTCTTAGTTCCTCCTTTCCATCGCTTACTGTCCCACTACAGGTCATGGCGCCAGTAGTGTTGTTGTACCCACAAGAACAATTCCACGAGTTGACAAGCTCAACTGGTGTAAAGGCAGCCATGGTATTTGAAAAATTTGGTAAGTTCGTGTTCAACCGTTGATAATAATTTACAGGAATAAAGGTGTGTTAGAGGGTAGCCCAGTAATGGTTAGGAAAGACCACCATCTTTATAGCTAGCGAGCGCATCAGAGAACGACGTGCTATTTGTTAGGAAGGAAGTGCCTTTCCTTGCCTACAGGGTATATAACATTTGTCATGAAATGTTGTGTCCACTTCTGATTTGACCTATAGAGTACATCTTCTTTCCCGATATCATATTTGATGATGTGACTGCTCGTTGCCGGAGGGACCCTCCGCCAATAGCCTCAAAAAACCGGCCAGGGGCCTGTATGAACCCTAGCGCAGCTGCCGTTTGTGTGTTACAGTATTACGGGATTATAATTACAACTGGCCCGGTGCCAAAAACCAGAGTATTATCCTGTGAACAACGAGGGCTGGAATTTGTTCTTCTGAACCTGGGAGCTTCCGGAAGATCGAGGGAACAAAAACGGTAAAAAGCAGAGGCCGCGATAGCTCAATACGTGGGCAGAATTCAATATCGCTTTGACGCGTCGGAGTCTGCGGGAAACTTAAGAAGTCGGGGGAAATTTTGAAGCCGGACAAAACGCTAGCGTCAAGCAGCGGCTCAGAACGTCAGGCCAATATGATGGCAGATAAGCGGCTAATCGGAAAAGCTATAGTGCTCTTGGTGGTCTGGCTGAATTTTTGATATTTTACAAAGAGGAAGCCGAAGTCGAAGCCAGCTGTAGCTAAATAATCTAGCTCGTTTTATTTAAACGTAGATCAAGTTGCCAGGCTGCATGCAAAGCTGTTGAGGTGGAGGGCAAGAGAAAAGTCGTTCGTTAGTCGAGCTTGCCTGGGATTCTCGAGGATCATCTTGATGAGACGCAGCGATGCTTTGAAGCAAAAGCACAAAGTGGTGGACACAATCCATAAGTCGGGTCAGCAAACGTACCGTGTTGTAGCCTTACCTCTCAGGCAAGAGCGTCAGCCAAATCCCTAGGCAGCATTCCACTTTTGACGCTGACCCCACGTGTTACAGCGCAAATTTTGCCGGTTAGTTTCGCACTAACCAAAATTGACACTCACTTTGATCCGAGGTACCGACCCGCGTGGCGATCATGCATAAATTTGCACGAATGGTGAGATGGTCCGTGCTCTGGACTTCCGAAGCGAAGCGACTGTAAATCAGAGTCACGTGTCGGATTTCCAATCTCGAAGCTACCTAGACACTCAGGGGTGTAGCTTTCAGCACGCTATTCTAAAAACGGTTCGCTACCTCGGCAAAAGTACTGATCTGCGTGACGAGTTTAGATAAATCTGCATGGTGTAGCCGCTATAAGGCTTGAAAATAATTTCAGGCATGCTATTTGATATATATAACTCAGGTGACATTCTATAGAGAAAGTAGAAGTAAGAGAAGTACTAGGGTGGAGGTTTGAGAAAGGAACTGTATTATAGACTTTAAGCAAAGGCATACTATAAATGTGACGACATGTACGATATGTTGCTCAAAGAGCGTCCAAGGTGTAGGTTATGGAATCGTAGAACTGTCTATTCGAAGATTCTAAGCTAAGGAGAGAAGAGAAGAAAGGACAGAAGCTCAAGAGCCAGAGGCTCTTAAATACAGGAGGTGGCGCCAAGGGCCATGCCTTAGCCGAGTCTCAGCCAGGGGCTCGTTTGACGCATGGTGGCCGCCGGGTTCCAGCCAGGGCTGGTCTGTAGCGTGGTGGCGGTGAGAACCGTCACAATAAATCAAGCTGAGAAAAGCTTGTATTATTATTTTTCTTAGCGAAGGGTCTTAATATGTTTAGAATTGACTATAGAACATAGCTAGTACAAAATATATAGGAGTCGCCTATGTTTGTTCAGCTTTTTTTTAGTTTGAAGGTGAAGTACCCACAAAATTTCTCAGCACGGGTGGTTTCTCGTTACGCATGGATGGACGTTACGCCTGAATATGCTGTCGATCGTTTCAATTACAACACCGATCGCCTGTTCCGCTGTCCCCCCCTTTACAATCGTGACTTTCAAGGTCTTTTCAAAAGCCGGAGCACTTAAGGAAAGGTCCTATCACGAAACATTATAACTAACTAACTAGCTCAAAAGTTTAAAGATACTCCCAGAGGAAAAGAACATAGTCCGGAGTTACGCCGGTGCGACGAGAGGGTCCATTTGTTTCGGTGCTTAGTAATTGTAAGGGTTTTTGATTTTGACTTCGAAGTGAATATAGGATCGGGCATATGTGGAGGGGCTTCAGTGAAATGTACATAGATCAAGTATATAAGGACGAAGGGCCACACCTCTTCACTCCTTGCGAACAATCTACTTCCTGACCCCCACCATAACAGTAATGTATATTAGCCGAGATACAATTGACTATGTTCAAGTCCAGGCTTACTATATTTTACTTAGCCACAAGTCCCAGGCTCAATCACGTGTGTAGCGTGGTAGCATGTTTCTGGAACATTCCATGTGTAGGTGCGCGGCAGCAGGGCTATTGCCTGATTGCGTAATTTATACCTGAGGCCTCAATTCAGAATCTAGACACCCCTCTTCTCTGTCTTAGTCGTGGTTTAGATTCTTCAAGGAATATACCTTTTTTTTCTTTCCCCCTGATAATACTGCCTCTACAAGCCATACCAGTAATCCTTCTTGCACTTAAGACGAAATGAGTCAGGCTACTCCGGTGCGGATCATCCTTCGATATCGCGAACGACCTTTTCAAAACCTGAAAGCAATCATCATCGCTTTCTTTAAATGGCGAGATATCCAACCTACAGAGGACTACTATACACATATATGTTGCAATCCTCCATCTTCTCAGTTATATCTCGTTCTCGATCTCTACCACAAAACCTACCCCAATGTCGATCTGAGCAAAATAGACCTCAAGGTCTTTAAGGTCTCAGGATTTGATTCATTGTGCGTTACCTCTTCTACCACCCAACTAAACTAAATATATTCAGTACATTTCAGGATCTCGGAGAGGTAGCTCGCAAGCAGGCTTGCCAGCGATCCGGTTCTCTGAATTGGGGGGAAGGCAGCTAGTCTAGTCAGACGAATTTGTCGGTGTTGTTCCAGCACAGGGAGGACAGGATCCCGCAATATCCGTGTCTCGCGCATCGAGACTCAACGGGAGATCTCTCAGAAAGCCGGAGGCAGGTAGGCATGGGCTATTTGCCTCCCTTCTTGTGGTTGTACAAAAGATAATGTGATCTCGATTCATGTGTTTGTTCGGACGTGTACAAGCTGCGCATGTCTTGCAAGCCCATTCACACATTGGGTGAGAGTGAGGGAAATCAGTTGGAATTGAATTTCGCAGAGAGGATCTTGACACAAAGCGGATCGTGATGCGAGAGACGCGAGAGACGCTCTGAAAGGAAAGGTGGCTCGAAGAGGAGACGATCTGTATTTAGTGAATTAATGGTCTATTCTACAGCTCTACATACTGTTTGAAAGTATAACTTACTTTGTCCTAGGTTATATGAGTTGCGGGCGACGGAGTCATTAAGAGGTTCGGCGCCTGGAATACGGAGGCTTCTGCGGGTCTATTGGAGCGAATTTGTGATGATAATGTCCGTCCCTGCGTGGCGAGAAACCCGGTGTGGCGAGAACAACCAATCAGATTGCAAGGATCGCGGATTTTTCTCCTAAAAGTCTTCTTTAAACCAACCACAACCAATAAAAAAAATATTTAAACTTAGCATCAGGCTTGTCACGCTATTCCTACTAATACAGCTATTTAGGAATTTTGAAATTTGTCTACTTTCTCAGCACGGGTAGTTTCTCGTTACGCATAGATAGACGTTATACTCCTTCAGTGGAGGGGCAACGAAAGTGTATATTGCCTGTACGGTGATACTTGCGTAGATTAGGATCTTGTGTTTCGGATATGTAGATATCTCCTGTCAGACAGAGGGGATAAATGATGCTCTGTAAATTACGTTGATGTTGATGTAGAGAAAAGATAAGGAGCTGGGAAACGAGCGTAAAGAAACTGTCTCCACCGACATGTGAGCAAGGGGGGATAGTAGAGACGGATGATGAGCCGCCGGGAATTTGGGTGCTCTGAGTGCTAACAAATCAGGTTGATTCATTGCCTGTGCCTGTCACGCTCAAATACACGAGGGTCTGATTCGTGGAGGTTCTTGATAGGGATATCAGCTATAAAAACCATGTTTCTCGAACCTTCCATAGGCACGTGCCCGCCGCCACGCCGTTGCCAGTCCATTGCCTGCCGCCTGTCTCCTTCACAACACCAACACCAGAGTAGGACAATATATGGACACTCGATCAACGCCGTTGGCGTTTTCTAGACCGGGTATCAGGCGCCCTCTTCCGCTTGAGATGATGCGACGTCCCAAAGCATGCATCAAGACGTTGAGCAGCGACAAGAGAGTCGATGGTAAAAGGAGAACCGCTGATATGGCAAGGCTCTAATGTTCCTTCCTGGAGTTGAATTGCTATAGGCGATTTTCTATCGACCAGCTCCACGGCCACTCTCATGTTAAAGTTGCCTCCATTATCCAAATACGACCCCTCCCTTGTTAAGCTTTCTAGCGGATGGCCTTGGAGAAGAAACTTTGTCGGGTTTCTAGACAGAAGATCAATTAAGCCCGCCAATGCTGGGTGGTTAGCACGAAGGCGGCATAAAATATGGCCAACACACATATACTTCCCGTGCTCCTTTGGAGGTTGGCATTCAAGCTCGAAGACGAATAGCTCGGCTATGACGCATCTCGCCAGTCGGGCTAATTCTTTTGAGCCTTGAATGGCGGATCGGGCGGCGACTTTGAGCTCCTGCATCTTTGATGTGTCGTCTAGGGCGGGCTCGGGACCGTTGAATTCAACATTAAACCGAAAATACTGCTCTTTGCAACCCTTCCTTCGACGACTCCGAAATTTATGCCCGTGGACACTGCTCATGGAGGGCTTGAAGGCGCGGAAAAGACGGGGGATAAAACCGTCTTGGAAAATCCCACGAGTAGGTGACATGCGTGGCTCGTCGTCCGTCCGTCGGGAACCGGTTCCCAAGGAGACCACCAGGCTAGGCCCGTCGGCGCATGGGTACAGAGCCGCCACCTCTTGAAGGGCCAATATTCCAGGGTCATTTTGGTGCAGGCCTCCATCCTGGAACGTGCCAACGCCCGAGATATGCTTTGGCTTGAAGTATCTTCCTAATCAGCCTAAGGACAGGGCCACTATCATTCTTACTTACGAGGGTGCTGCTGATCCGCATCTCGCACTGCCCCATGTTAGCTGGTCTCATTTATATCAAGAGGTTACTTGCACTTCCCACAGTAGGATCCGCCCCGTATCTTTTGAACGTAAGACATGATATCCTATCAACGTCAGCGGAATTTCGATTTCGATCGCCTGACGAGCTACCAGAACCCCGGGGCCTTGTCCCCACTCCATTATAGTTCGTGAAGACACATGTTGAACCATCGCGAATTGTTGTTACAACCCAGCCGATGCGAGTACCGGTAGCTGTGGCTTTGGAGCAATCCAGGATGCCTCGATCACTTCCGTATGCTTTTTGCAAGGCTAGTTCAAGGTTTTTAGCAGAGTAACGTCCGTCAGCGAAAATTGATATCAAGAAATGCACTGCCCATGAGATTAGTGGTATGCCTAACGATGGTCGAGGTTGGAAGGCCTGTTTAGCAAAGCCTTCAAATCGTTCGATACATAACTCCACCGGCGAACCAATCACACACAAATCCGCACTAATAATTCCTCCTGCTTGTGTTAGTGTGGTAGACGGCTCCCGCTGGGGACTTTACCCGAACTTGTGCCAACGACGACGTCAAAATGTTCTTGCACCGGATAATTCAAGCCGATCTGATCTTGTAATAACAGTAGGTAGATCAGGGTTACTAAACCCCGTACACCACCCCCATCAAATGTTAACACACGAACGCCGGCTGTTGGAGGCAAGGTCTTCACAACTACTCCGGATGTAGACAGTCCACACCAAAAGCAGCTATCAACCTCAAAACTCCACGGGTCATGTTCACTTCTCCTCCCAAAAATGCGGACACAGTTTTCACAAATACAGTGCCCGCATGCGAGATCATATTGCGGTATTCTGCGTAAGCACATGAGGCAGACTTCCTCTGAGCGAATGTTAAGCCAACCTGGCTCACACCTGAACAGGAGCTGGCGGTGGAGATCTACTGACGTGGTCGTCGTGGAAGAGTCTAGTGTCTCGAAGCGTGCTGAGAGATCATCCTCAATGAGCTTAATAAATCCCGATGGTAAGAGGAGATTGGAAGAATTTTCATCAACAAACACTCCTTCTTTGCATGCGTGGTAACAAGCGTCTTTGTACAATACCTGAAACACGTCTCGGGGGCAAAAAACTATTGGACGATCAGCCATGGTTCCCCACTAGGGTCTTACTCACAATGCATGTCCGGAGGGTAGCTGTCTAGCAAAAGACTGGAGGCAATAAGAGGGATGGCGAAACTCTTCAACTCTCCTAAGCTTTTCATCTTGAGCAAAAATCTGGTTAGGTGCTCCTCGAGATCCGCTGCGGGTAGGTTGTTAATACGTGATGCCTGGATAAAATTAAACGGATCTTTGCAATTTGCGCCAAAGTGGGAGTAGGCCTGGCTTAAGAAGGCAGCCAAGTGCTGGGCTGAGAAAAGCGTTCTCGACTCGATCCTCGCCAATCGGACATGATCAACAGCATCCATCAAGACTTCCTTAAGCTTTCTGTGACGGGCCGACGGCGAAAGATCGCCATCTGGGAGCAAACTCAGTACCCGGATACTTCCAAAGAATGTTGAAGCATCGGTCCTCGTCTCTTGAGCTAGGAGCAGGAGAAACCGATCCAGGATCCGTGACTCTGGACCCTCTGTTGCGGATGGCTCTGTCACAATGATGATCTGGGAGCATGCGGTCGCTGGAAGCGTCGAAGGCTGACCCGTGTTCATCCAAGCGGCGATGACCCGCGCAATAGGTTGCAAACCTCCGAGATCACTAGCAAAAAAGCAGAAGACGTCGGTGAATGGGGAGAGGAGTCGAAAATACAGACTGTCTGCGGCGGCCTGTAGATCTCCGAATCCTAGAAGGCTCCGGTTGGTGATCTCGTGGCATTGATCCAACGGGAAACCCTTATGTACCTTTGACTGGAGAGGAATGTCTCCATCGGCAATGAGAATAGGTCTGTCGCTAAAGGTAGTAGATGGATCTAGATGAAGGTGTATCTCACCGTATCGTCGATGGCTTTGGGAATTCTTTGTGGTTCTTGGCAAGGCTAGCTCTTTTAACGCTCGTTCCTTGGATCTATTTCCAATGAGAACTAAGAGAGTAGGCTTTTGAGATTCCAAATAAGGAAGGCCATGGAGTAAGGTCTCAGCTCGGTCAGATTGAGTGAAGGTGATTTCGTTGTCTCTTGTATACAAGCCAAGCCAGTGGCTATGATAACAGGATTTCATTACAATCACAGACCAGCTGCAGAGGTAAAGAGAATAAAAGCGGTGCTCGGAGGTACTAAACGAGAGAATGGAAATAGAAGAGAGGTGATATTTTCAATTCTCAACTGTTCTTGCCTTTATACTCATTTTTAACCACATGTTATTTCGAATGAGCCTTTGCCCGATTAATATGTCCTTTGCCTAATTAGTATAGCTTTGCCTAAGTAATATGTCCTTTCGCCTATTTAATTCAAGCGTGTGCTTAGCTTGGCAAAACAATTATCGTAGTAGCTTATTTCAACCCCGCTTATATAGGCATCAGAGGATAAAGGCACAGCTTTACTAGGAGCGTGGAAATTTTGAAATTTAGTACAAGTCAAGGAGCGGCTTGCTAGATCTGATCAGCGGTTCTAGAATATTATGAAATTTGCAACTCTTAACCAAAGCACCTATTCATCCAGTGTGTATAATCACATGCCACCCGACGTTAGTACCTTCAAATATTATGCGATGATTTTCTAGCTAACCTTGATACCCAAAGACTATCATCATGGAGCATATCTGCGCTGCTTGCCAGAAACCCCGTTCCTCGTCTTATCATGAACGGCACCCTCTCACCCCTGGTAAGGCTCCACGACCTGGTATCTGTACCTCATGTGTTAAGAAGTGCTTCTTAAACACTGGTATCCAACCAACCGAAGAGTCACAACAAAACAAGCACGAAATCCATCACTATCATCACTATGAAGTCCATTATTATCATCACCATTACCCTTGTAAAGCTGCAGAAAGTCGTCCAAAGTGTGAGGACATACCTGTGCACGTCGAATTACCTTCTGATGAAAGTCCTAACTGGGTCCGAGTGGAATCACCACCGCCGGTCTACCCTGAAACTAAGCCCTTGTTGCCATACAGATCTTGAAGGTGGACAGGTTAAGGGGGATGTCAGGAATCAGATGACGGCGAGCAGCGACAGCTACTAGATTTAGTTTTGGAAAAAGCTGCTACTAGGAGCATAAACTCTAGCGTAGCTTTCTACTGTGTAGACATATATACTGTTTGTATGAATTTAAAACTTTTTAAGAATAAATATATTTCCCAACTCCAACTCTAACACTCAACTTAGTCGTGGATTTACACATCGATAAACTTTGTAAGCTATCTACTTTGAAATTTATTTTTCTCCATGCTTATTCTTAAAAATTGTAATCTGCGTATGCTTTTCCAAGTGGTGGAAGAATGGTTGGAGATTCCTGGTTGCTCCCCCATATAATACGAGACAACTTAAAGACTACGCAGTTCCAACGCTGGCTCAAAGAATTAGAACGGCACTGACACAAAGCGGTGTCATTTCAAGAGCATAGACAATATCGAGGGAGGTAAATGTCTTTCGTTTCGAGTACTTTATGCCCTGATACGGTCTCGAGGACACTAAATATAATAGCATGTAGAGACGAGAGGATCAAAACTTCCTACTTACATCTTAGAAACACTCCGGGATCGTCCCTCCCCTATCCCAAAGAGCTTTCCATGTTCAATCATAGTAATACAACTATGGCTGAGATAAATTCTTAGGGTATTCTTCATCTGCAACCAATCCCGGCCGAACAATTTCCACTTGCCTGTTATATAGAGCCTCCTTCAACTCATTGCACAAAGCAATAGAGAAGAGCTTTGGGTTGCCAGCATCAATTCTACATAGGGCCACCGATTGACTCTCCCCGGTCGCCGGATCAACATCTTTCTGTTCCAACGGGTCCCAACCTGTATCAGCCTCACACAGAGAAATAGCGTCCAGAAGCTTGCGAACAACGAGGTTCACCCTTGGATTCGTTGGCTTCGGTTCAAGGCGGAACCAAGGCAACTCGTTGTATTTGTAAAGGTTGATTTTGAAAGCTTCGTGTGTAAGAGAGAGGTTGCAAACTCGTTGAACGTGCCGGCCGATAGTATCAAATAAGAGAAGTAATTCATGTGGGTTAGACTATATTGTGTAAGTGTTTCGGATTCAAAATGGAAAAATGAAGACGCATAGCATGGATAGTAGGCGTGCCATTTTGAGTAAACCGAAAGCGAAGAGTGTCGAGTGAAAGAGGGCCTTTTCCAGCCATTGAACCCATAGTGTAGAAAAAGTAAGGTAGTCGCGTTTGAGGTAACGACTGTTTTGAAATCGTTTTGTGTACATATGATTCTGTTAATGTCAGGGAGACTAAGTTCAAAACTAGAATTGATTGAGATTATCTTTCGATGCCTCTGCAGATTGAGTACGATTTGAGTGGAGAATTGAGGTGAAGTTGAGGATCAAGCAAACGGAGGAGCTGATACCACTTAACGGACCTCGGTGGAATATATATAGGGTTATCACGTGACAGAAGCAGCACAGTAACACAAAAACATCTGATTTTCCAAGACAATAGCGCTAGCAACTGGCGGGGTGAGACACCAAGAAACGAGAATCGATTCTCTCTATTCTGTCGTGCAACAGTCAAATATCGTCCGCGCAACTGGTGCCCGTCATGACACTGGCGCATCGTTTCTCAGCCCCACTTCTGGCTCTGGCTCGTCTGCTTCTTGCGCAGCACTCTCACACTTCTGACCGCGAATTCAACTTGAAGCTAACTAATTTATTGTTACTATGTATATTACCAGGCATCCCCGGAGCCGGAAAAACCATTCTTACATCTATCTTGGTAGAAGAGCTTACCTCTCGGTTCCACGACAATGAGAATATTGGGATTGCGTACCTGTACTGCAATTTCCGGCGCCGAGAGGAGCAGAATAAGAACAACTTACTGGCGAGCTTATTAAAACAGCTTGCTAGACATCAACCTATTTTGCCAGAAGTTGTAAAAGATCTCTATAATCGACATGATGCTCAACGTACAAGGCCATCGTTTGATGAAATTTCTCGATCTCTCCAGTCAACAATTGCAATGTATTCTAGGGTATTTATTGTCATCGATGCACTTGACGAGTGCAACGTATCTGATGGTTCACGGACGACCTTCTTATCAGAGTTGTTCAGCCTCCAGACCAAGTGCACGGTGAATCTTTTTGCAACTTCAAGATTCGGAACAGAATTCAGCGCGATCTTTTCGAACAGCCTATCTTTAGAGATAAGAGCGAGTGAGCATGATGTACGAAGGTTTTTGGATGGCCACATACTAGCTCTTCCCGGTTTTGTTAGACGTAGTCTAGATTTACAAGAGGAGGTCAAAGGAGAAATTGTCAAGGCAGTCGATGGCATGTATGTGATTGTTAATTGTTTTACTACACAGATACTAAGTTCGCCTAGGTTTTTGCTTGCAAAGCTTCATTTGGATTCCTTATCTGGAAAGAAATCACTAAAGGCTCTTCGAACTGCGCTAAAGAATTTACCGTCCGGATCTGACGCCTATGACTCTGCATATAAAGACGCCATGGTTCGAATCGAGGGACAGATAGCCGACGAGGAAGAGCTTGCCAAGCAGGTTTTGTCTTGGATTACATGCGCGAAAAGACCATTGACTACAACGGAACTTCAGCATGCGCTTGCTATTGAAACAGGGGAGTCTAAGCTTGACCAAGACAACCTTCCAGATATCGAAGATCTAGTTACAGTATGTGCTGGGCTAGTAACAGTTGATGAGCAAAGTAATATTATCCGTTTAGTTCATTACACGACACAAGAATACTTCCGGCGATCACAAGGCCAGTGGTTCCCAGGTGCTGAGGCGAATATCACGGAAAGCTGTATCGCTTATCTTTCTTTTGAGATGTTTCTACAAGGGTCCTGCCAAACAGACGAAGAATTTGAAGAGCGAGTGCAGTCTAATCAATTATTTGCATATGCTGCACAAAACTGGGGTCACCATGGCTGTATGGCTGTGACTTCAGACCACGATTTAGGTGTAACAGTTGCAGACTTTCTAAAGAAAGAAGCCAATGTTAGCGCGTCAAGTCAGGGGCTGTTCGCTGTTAAGAGATGGTCGGGAGATTCAAGATATAGCCAGAGGACTCCAAAGAACATAACAGGAGTGCACTTGGCGGCATACTTTGGCATCAAATCTGTAGTCCAACTGCTACTTGATAATGCTTTCGAGGCTGACTCACAAGATACAGACGGTCAGACGCCGCTATCATGGGCTGCTGAGAATGGACATGAGACTGTTGTCAAGCTGTTGTTAAAGACTGACAAGGTCGAGGCCGACTCAAAAGACAACAATGGTCAGACGCCGCTATCATGGGCTGCTAGTCGTGGGCATGAGGCTGTTGTCAAGCTGTTGCTTCAGACTGGCGAGGTCGAGGCCGACTCAAAAGACAACAATGGTCAGACGCCGCTATCATGGGCTGCTGAGAAGGGGCATGAGGCTGTTGTAAAGCTCTTGCTTCAGACTGACAAGGTCGAGGCCGACCCAAAAGACAATAAGGTCGGACACCGCTGTCATGGGCTACTAGTCGTGGGCATGAGGCTGTTGTTAAGCTGCTGCTACCGACTGTCACGGTCGAGGCCTACTCAAAAGACAACAATGGTCGGACGCCACTATCATGAGCTGCTGAGAATGGGCATGAGGCTATTGTTAAGCTCTTGCTTCAGACTGACAAGGTCGAGGCCGACTCAAAGGATAATAATGGTCGAACGTCACTATCATGGGCTGCTGAGAATGGGCATGAGGCTGTTGTCAAGCTGTTGCTTCAGACTGGCGAGGTCGAGGTCGACTCAAAAGACAACAAATATGGGCAGACGCCGCTGTCATGGGCTGCTGAGAATGGGCATGAGGCTGTTGTCAAGCTGTTGCTTCAGACTGACAAGGTCGAGGCCGACTCAAAAGACAATAATGGTCGAACGTCACTATCATTTGCTGCTGAGAATGGGCATGAGACCGTTGTCAAGCTGTTGTTAGAGACTGACAAGGTCGAGGCCGACTCCAAAGACAACAATAGTCAGACGCCGCTATCATTTGCTGCTGAGAATGGGCATGAGGCCGTTGTCAAGCTCTTGCTTCTGAATAATTCAGATTGTGCTATAGAGAGTGATGATGGTTGGGCTGTTATGGAATTAGCGGCCTTTAATACACATAATAGTGTAGAGCAGCTTTTAGTAACCTGTGGGATACCTGAGCCAGAAGATCTATATGGGCTGCAATCTATGTTTTTAGGAAACTAGTTAGTTCTTAATTCATATCTGCTTTCATAACATTAACGAAGATAGTTAATAAAAGCTGATATTTATATACAATACTAATGCAACAGAAAATTCCTAGAATAATTGATTCATGGTCATTTGGTCATTTTATATAGATAAGACACAAACCAGATTAAATATAACAGACTATATCTCGACCGAAGAAAGTATAAGAACAGGATGCTCCAATGAGGCATGGCTATCTAAAGAGTGTACCGGGTTTTCTCGTCATTTCAAGTAGCAGGCCTTGCCATCATCCCCGTTAACAATTGCAGCATATATGTGCGCATGTCATTCATCTGTTCCTTCAAGCCTTCAACCTCGGTACTTATTTGCTTAGCTAGAGCATGAGTTGAAATCGGAAGCATGTTTATATCCTGTGCTAAGGCTGTATCGATTACCTTAGTCCTCTCAAAAGGCTCTTTCTTTATCAGCTTAGGTCGCACGTTACCTAACCTGGCAATGTCTTGGTATGGAGCCTTCCCGATCACCTTAGCCATATATCCCTCTGCCGGTTTTTCAAGCTGCCGTGCCTTTTGTGAATGGTGAGCTCAAATAATCAGTTGCGGATGTTTTTGAGGAAATATCAGTCAAACCGACAAGCTCGTTTGCATTTATTGATGGCTGATCAGTGGAGGTTGCAAGGAGATGGGTTTCGATGCCATCAACGCAAGATGGATCGACCTGACCGGCACAAACTTTAGACAGTACCTTGAGCAGGTGCGCGGAGCATCCACTATCGACAAGAACTTTTGTTGCATGTATCCAGGATTGGAAGATCAGTTGAATCGAATGTTCCATGGGAAAGTCGTTAGCCATCGCGAAGGTGTTTGGGAGAAAGGGAAGGCGGGAGGGGTTTCGGTGTGCAAGGGATTTTGGGCAAGGAACGCCAAGACCTACGTTGCAGCGAATCTGGCAACAACAGGCGTGGGCCACAATAGGAACCTGGCACAAGGAGATTCTGGCACAAGGAGATTCTGGCACTAGGGCATTTGGCACAAGGATTTTCTGGCACAGAGGGATTTGGGAAAAGAGATTCGGGCAACAAGGAATTCTGGCACAAGGGGATTCTGGCCGCAGGGGTCGATTCTGGCACACAATAATTTTGGCACAAGGGGATTCTTGTACAAGGGTATTTTGACCGCGTGAACGGCTGCCAGACTCTCGACCAGAGTTTGAACCTTCTCAACCGGCTGAGCAGTCTGCACAAGATCCCGAGAAGTCGGTACCGTCTCCTGAAGCCATCGAAGGTTTGGAGGGGAAAAGATTTTGGAGGGGAAAAGATTTTGGAGGGTAAAAGATTTTGGAGGGGTTGTATTGCGTGAAACTATCCGCTAATGAAAACATTCGCACCAGTTTCGCTGCCTTTTGCGATTACCCCTCCCATTTTGGCGGGGTAAGGCTGTCGGACCCCGCTTTGGCACCCGACCTGGGTGATCTCGTCCAAATGCCTCGGGCATGAAAGACTTACAAAATCGCCGCAGTTGGGTGGTTCAGAGTGCCTGTTACACTTCGTGGATAATAGCCTTGTTTTGGTATCTATTTTACGTATATCTCTTATCTTTGGACCTCTGTACAAGGTCTCCTTTGGTGTATTTAACAAGGGCTTAGCCCACTAAGCAAATACAAGCGATTTGAGCCATATTGGAATCAGGGGGGGCGTATATTAGGAACACCCAGGTGGATATACGAGATGTTTTGTTAATGAACAGTGGTGATGGTACCGAGGCAATCCGAATTCAGCGAGAGTTGTGGTACACTCGTCATCTAAAAATTCTTGTCGACTGAGTTTACTAAGATGATTTGGGAGAGGTAATCGGACCAAATTCTCATCTTTATTGCACTTAATTGCTAACATTTTACAGTCTCCTGGACATAGAGGAAGATGTTCAACTTCAAACCAGAGAAATTAACGAAAGATTAGCAGCCTTGCCTGAAGTTTCCCAAGACCAAGTGCAATTTACAGTCCGCAATATTTTACACAAATTTGCTGCCGAAGCTGAGAATATGCTCGCTGGTAAAATTCTCGTTGGTAAATTCGCACTTCAAGGCCAAGACAGATTTCACAACCAGTGGAGAATCTTATGCAAACAATTTCAGTCTGCGTTAGAGCAGATGCAACCTGAATTGATTTGTACTTACCCATCGGCTGATGGTTTTCCGGATCGGCCACGGCTCAGAAACGAAGAACAGATCAATCTGGTGAGTGATGAGGATGAGGATGAGGAAGTGCGTCAGCCAGCGAACAAGCGACAAGCACCTGACGACCAATTCCCACGCACTCCTGCCAAACCACCTTTTCTCAACCGGGCCCAGACGCCGGTAACCCCAGTTAAACAAGAAATTATAGCTTCACCAAGTTTGATGCATAGGCTAACATTACCGAACCAGAATGCTGCCAAGTTCGGACCATTTTCTCGAGATGACCTTGAATACGGACGCAATAGCTGGACGATAGCCGAAGTAAAACAGACCATCGATGAAAACGCCATTCCGGGCCGAGTTTTGACTGCAATGGAACCGTGGAAGCATCCACTCGAGACTTTTCATGAGACAACCTTCACCATGTTAAGAAAGCATATGAACAATGTGCTTTCTGATGTCCTCAGAAACTACCAAGGCACCGAGCTCTATCGCGCTTCTAAGAAACACATCAATGAGTTCATCAGTTACCACGAAAAGATCCAGCAGGAGAGGCTGATGACGTTGTATAACGCTGAGCATGTAGCATTGTTCACAACAGATCTTCCGGGGTTCAAAATTCACAAGCAACAAGCTCTCGATAAGTTAAATGCAGCATGTAGGGAAGCCCGAGTCCAAGTTTGGTTACAAGCTCCTGCCAACCAAGGTCCCAAGGATAAGGAGCATATGAAGGATGAAGATCTAGCCAAGTATCTTCCGTACTCAAGAGAGCTCGAGGTTGCTGCATATGTTATTGGCTACTACCATCTCGCCAGAGTCCGGTTTGCTGAAGCAGTATGCGGAAGTACCAAGGTTTCCCTGTTTATGGAAATGGAAAAGGAGATCAAGTACTTGCTTGAGGGAAAGTTGGAGTTGAATGTTGGGGATTGTAAGTCCTGGAATACTTTTGTTTGATTTTGTTCTAATACTGTTTCAGGCGAAGAAAAGTGTCAGATGCTCTTATTCGGAAATGCACGAATAGCTCAGAAACGCCATGAATTGCTCAAGATGCAGGAGAAGCTAAAGGCTGCATCCAATGTTCTAGAAAGAATTCGGGGGTTGATTGATTCTAACATTGACGACTCCGATATCACGATGCAACCTGATAACGGTGGTATAGACGTCGACCCAGTGGAGGGTAACCACGCTTGGGACCGCTGTGGTGTTGACGCACCAATTGACTTTACCCGCTATCGTCGTTGATTTTCAAGTCATTAGGGGCGGGAATTCAGAATTTGATTGTTGAGTATGTGAACAGGAAATGGGGAGCTGGGCATTTTTTTTCACTGTTGTATTTTCCTAGAGTAAGAATTGGGACAATGAAAATTCCTTGAAAACTTCAGCTTACAGTCTCGGATCAGTGACGTATAGATAGATACATTGCTGAAGTTAAGAGAGAGATGAAAATGTTTCAAGATGGCTGGTTAGGTGTTTACAGATAGCATATTTGTAGGTCACTTTTAATATTATCTACCGCAAGTGTCCAAATAAAAGGTGCTTAACTAAGTGATCTTGTGCTTATAATAGGATTTCTGACAGCATTAGGCTACAATTTAGACGTAAGCTAGGTGTGCGGGTAGCACGGCATAGAGGTGCATCTTTAGGCATACTATTATTACGTGGAGTTGACAGCGAGCTGAAGGATTCCTCTTATATCTCTTTCTTTTCTATTTCTCTCTTCTACACAAGGTATGAGGTGTTAGGTGTGAGGTTGTCCGAAAGTTATATGCTACATTTGTACTTGAATCCAAGACATTGCTATACCCTCGGGTGAAATTTTCCTCAAAGCTACATAGCGATATTTGCGCTGAGAGATATAACTCTCCAAGGAGATGAGGAACTAGGACCAATCACTAGGTTGTGGGTGTGGACTTTCAATATAGATAGTAGGTCCAGAAAAAGAGCGATTGGTTTCTTTTAGCCTGATATCTGTTTGGTACAGCATCCTGACTTTGAACAAGTGCTTACTACTTAGGAGCATTTAAATTCCATTACTGTAGTTTATCAATTGTACATGTATGTCAAGCCTTCCCATTCCCATTTCCACATTCATTAGGCTCGGGGTATCTTGTAGAAAAACAGTTTAAAAGATCAACGATCGGAATACAAAGCAAAGAACTCCCTGAGCACCACCCCATGAATTCCGTCCCACCAACGCCATAATCCGACCGACCAAACCAAGCGCCTCACGATCGTCCATGCCCATCGCTAGCAAGAAAATAGCCACTTTCTCTATAGCGGAATCACTTCATTCGTGCTCACTGGTACTCTTCTTCCGCAACCAAACCAGACCTAACAACCTCAACGACTCCATTCTCCAAGCTATCCCTCAACTCTTCACAAAATTGTGAAGAAAAGTTCTCCTGCTTTATTTGGCAGAGCGCAACTGACCGACTTTCCCCGGTTCCTGGATCGACCTCCTTGACTCCCAATGGATCCCAGCCTGAGGTAGCTTCGCAGATAGAAATCGCACGTTTGAATCGGTCGATGAGTGACTGCGCCCGCTTGTTGTGAGCTTCTAGTAAGAAGACGGGAAACTCGTAATCCTTGAACAGGTTGCGTTTAATGCCTTAGTGTGTCATCGTAAAACCACATACATCACTTGCATGACGGCAGATGGTGTCACAGAGGATGAGTAGGTCATGGCTGTCGGACTATACTTTGTAAGTATTTCACACATCAGGAAAGCGGAAAAGCAAGACTTACCGCATGGAAAGTAGGCTCTCCATTGGTACTAAAGCGATAACCTAGCACATCAGGAGCGAGCGGACCCCTAATTCCTGCCATGGTGCCAAAGTCTCGATGCGCAAGCTTCGTGAAGGATTGGTAGTAAGGGACGTAACCATTGAAGGTCGGTTTCGATAGTCGATAGCAGAGAATTGAATACTCAAACGCTTACGGACAAGGTCGAAGATTGGTTTAGGTTGAGCTTCCCACGTGCCTTTGTGGGGTTTTGGGATGTAGCGGAGGGTTGCATAACGCAAGGGAATTGATTGCAGATTGATCTTGGAGTGTGTTGTGATGGCAGAGGGACGCAGTAGGAATTGAGGTTGTGGTGTTGCAGAAGAGCCCCGCGGGAAGTGAAAGTTGGTGGGGCAAGGCTGTCGGACCCCGCCCTTGACACGAGAAAATGTCATGTGATATCGTAGAATTATAGCCCCTGCCGGAATAGAATTCTGTGCGGATAATGCAGGAGGCGTATTTAGACAAATGCTAAAGTTAAGAGGTGGAGTAGGGGAAGCGGGAAGCGGGAATCGGGAATCTGGGTCAAGGAGTAAAACGCGCTGACGCACGTGAACACGTGATACAATAACCAGATCATATGAGACGCAGCAAATCTCTTAGCTGGACGTCACAAGATAGTTCCATAAGACGCTTAGCATAAACAATTAAAGCGATTAGATCCTAACATACACGACGTCCACGGTGTTGAGGATTCGAACGCGGACAGCTTGACTGGTGGTCAGTCAGAGTCATAACTCGCTGCTTGAAGTGAAGATGGGAAGATGCTTGTTACAATGCAGCGCTTGTTTCAATGATGCACAGAGAAGTAAGAGTAAAAGACTTGAACTCCTTGCCTTGCTCTACTCCTAGGAGAACAAGGCATGTAAATACAACCTGAAATAGCCATTGCCACATCCATTTACCTAAACTCTCTCTCGGCATGTCGGACAGGCATACCGAAATCTCCTTGAACGGCTTGATAGAACAGATATCACCGTACCTATCAACATTTATCATTAACCTGCCACTGAAGAAGCCCTGAAGTAAAGATTGTCATTGAGTGGGTGATCAGATCATTCTCCAGCACTGTCCTGTCGATATTCGACGGAAAGCCAACACGTGTCCCGCAGGTGGAGCGATATTATTATCAAGGCCTAGCAATAAAAGCATTATTGATATCGTTCTCTCATATCGTCTCAATCCGTTTATACCTCTCGATGAAATGACACCATGTGTAGGGTAGTCCAGCAAAATCTGGGCAGCCTCGTAAATAGGCACCGAATCGACGGCCGGGTACATGGGCTATTGTTAGCTGAGGGCATTGTGTGCTCTCAAGAACGTGGAAACCAACGTCATTAGAGTTCTAACGGGTGCTTTCGTTTGATTGCGCGTAGTCTGGTGCTAGAATGACTTCAGAAGACAGTCTAGGTTAATCCGATTGTTTCCAACGAGGGCTAGGCAGGCAGGTACAAATTGCCAGGAATGGAATATACCATACAGATGCAAGTTTGCAGATCAGCATTCCAGCCCTTTACTACCCTGCGAATTATTTTTTAGTCCACTCAATAGATATTAGCGCTCTCTGTGACACCTCGAACTCATCCCACAGAAACAGGTACATCTCATCCAAGGATAACCCAGGCTTCTCTATCAAGTGTTTGAATAGAGCTTTTCATATCTGAAGTGTAACGTATTCCGTATAGACATGCTTTCATCGCAAAGTCGAGAGGCAAAGGAAATATCACGCGAAGAGTACTACGTGAGGATGTATTAAAAGATTTTAGCTCGGCTGTGGGTCATATCTGATCGAAATATCCGCCAAGAAGCTATTGCTACTATAAACTTCAAACAAACCATAGACGAATAGCTTCTGGAAGGATTTTTATTACGATGTAAATGATTACCTAAGCTTAGACAATATCTTTCGAAGTCTAGAAGGTCGTTTCTCGCTCTCTTTTTCTGCTTTAAATTGGCTACTTTGAAGCTCTGAATCTGATTTATAGACTGATCCTGTTGTTATGATTAGTTATTTGAAATAGCATTAATCCTAATACAGGGGATTATACTCTTACCACTTGAACTACCTAAAGATGCTATGTTTTGCTTCACCGTTTTGGACTTTATATGATCTGGTCCAAGAGCCTTCTCATAGCCTTGCAACGCCCGCTGGTACATCTGCTCGGCCTCCACCAGCTTGCCTTGATCAGAGTAGAGGAGACCTAAGTTGTTGACTGTTTGAAGGGTTGATGTGTGATCTGGTCCAAGGGCCTTCTCTTTGCCTTGCAACGCCCGCTGGTACATCTGCTCGGCCTCCACCAGCTTGCCTTGATCTTTGTAGAGGATGCCGAAGTTGTTGACTGTTTGAAGGGTCGATGTGTGATCTGGTCCAAGGGCCTTCTCATAGCCTTGCAACGCCCGCTGGTACATCTGCTCAGCCTCCACCAGCTTGCCTTGATTTTGGTAGAGGACGCCTAAGCTGTTGACTATATCAAGGGTCGATGTGTGATCTATCCCTTTTTTAGCCTAGCTTTATCTTAAAGCTAAAGTATAACTAAAGAAATATTATTAGAGGGTTAGCGATCTTCTATTTTTTTCGCTATACTACTAATGCTATAATAAATACCTAATAAGAAAAAGAAAGAACGCTTTTGTTTTATAAATAGTATTAAATTAACTTAAAATAAAATTATAGCTTACTTCTATTATAAATCCTAAGGCCGTTATTATATTATAGATACTTCCTTATCTAGCTAATATACTAAATATATTTATACTAAATTAAAGTATAATAATTTAGAAGACTCTTAGAATAAAAACGTTCTAAATAAAAATACTTAGAATTCTTTAGATACTTAAAAGAAGCGTTTTTATAAAAAGGAAGAGGCTACTATAGCTAAGAGCCTTCACCTCTATAAGTAGTAGAAGCTTATATAGAATAGTCGAAAGGAAATAGTTTATTATAGCCTTAAGTTTATTAATAAGCTTAACGCTATTAAGGCGTTAGAAAGAAAAGAAAAGGAGGAATAAGAGAAGGAATATAAGGAGAGGAAGTAAAGAGAGAAAGAGGCTACTAGGCTAGCTACCCTTTTAACTCCTACTAACTCCGACCCCTTTCCTAAGCTAAGTCTTAACCCTACTTTCTTTAAAACTCTTTTAAGTAATCCTAAGATATAAGTAACCCTAGGTTTTAGTAGTAGTGTAACGAATACTCAAACTGGCTAACTAAACTTGGCTGGGTGTTCGCTGGTTGGTATGCTATGATAAGAAGAAGACTATCGGGTTGTTCACTTGGAAGTGAACTCGTTACTTGTATCAAAGATGTCAAACTAATATGATAAGATTGATAACTAAGTTGAGCATGAAGCTCCTATCTAATGGCAGAAGTGCCAGTCTTATATAGAACCTTCGTTCTACTGGATCCATCGGGGTCCATCACGTGACAACAACCAAATGAAATCCATGGATCGCTTAGCTGGCCTAAGCAATCCCTATTTGCTATAAGAAACCTGGATGTGCCTGTCGAGGGTTGCGCCTCTTTATTATGACAAGTATCACGTGAGCACGTGATTCGTGACACTATCCCCTTTTTAGCTTAGCTTGGTCCCCAAGCTTAAGTACGATTAAAGAAATATCGTCAGAAGGCCAACGGTCCTCTTCTTCTTTCAATATGTCCTCTGAACGGTCAAGGAAACGAAAGGAGTGTATTGCTTTAGGAATCCATATTGAACGGCACGGTGACGAAATGGCTCCCTGTACCCGTTGTGAAAAGTCCGTTGATTTCGAAGGTCGTCCCCGCCGTTGCGTTGCAATCCCCGACTCGAAGTACAATCGATGCGCCGAGTGTTCTAGACAAGGCAAGCCTTGTGACTATCGTGAGAGGAATCAGATGCCGACCCTTTCCGACTGGGCTTCCATTGAGAAGCAAAAGGAGCGCTTCGAGGAGGAGGAGGAGCGGGCCGCGGCCCAGGCCCAGGAGGCCATGGCGAGGGTCGCCCGCATTCGCAAACAGAAAAGGCTTCTTCTCGCTCGCGAGAAGAAGATGATTCTCGCGGGTCTTAACTCCCTTGACGAGCTAGACGCCGCTGAAGAGTTGGAAAGGAAAGCTGCT